ATCTTCCAAATCAGTAGCAGTATGGAAGTAATAATCCAGAGTAACTATGCCACTCTTGGCACCGTGCTGTGAGAGCTTATTCTTGTATTAGAAATTCGAATATTCTTCCATTGCATTGGTTTAGTGGAGTTGAACAATAATTACTTATTTACTCCCTCCATTCCAAATTATAAGACGTTTTGGCTTTTTTAGATACATAGCTTTTGCAATGCATTTAGATATATAAATATGTCTAGATACATAGTAAAATTAATGTATCTAGAAAAGCCAAAACATCATAATTTGGAATGGAAGGAGTACATTCTATTGAAATTGTAAACTAGTGCCTGGATAATTAATTCCTATATTGATTGTTTGATGTACTGTCTGTATTTAACCTTTTCTTAAAAGGGCATCACATTCCTTAGTTCTGTCAATAATGGAATGTGTAGTAAGCTACAGATTACCCTGATTACCCCACTACAAAGGGCTTGTTCTGTTTAGTTATTATTACTTGAAACATGTGTATATTCAAGATAATGCTTACTATAGGTGGTAGATTAGAGTATTTGAGAAAGTGTTACCCCTGTTTTGAAAAGTTATATGTTTGACACTCTTTGCAAATATTCCTCGAGGATTGGGTGGCCAATTCAAGTGAGTCTTGTTTACGGGAAACCTACTGATTCAACTACAGTTTGATTGCTGTTAGCTGCTCTGTAATGGTCCAAGTAGTATGGTGTGGGCATACTGGTCAGCTTTTCAGTTTTAGTTTTTCCAGGTTGGACGACTGATCTGGCCTTTTCTTAATAATTATAGGCATATAGTATGCTGTTCAAGCTGCCTGTATTTGGTACATTTATTGTTCAATGTTGTTTATTTGTTTTCAAATTATTGTATGATGTATATAAACCAAATATGCATGCTGTATGCTGATCTCAATCTTCTGTGTCTTGCTTCAGGATATGCTCTAAGTTCTGTTGAAGGCCGAGTTTCCATGGAATTCTTTGATCTATCCGAGTCTGCTCAGTCTAAAAAGTATGTTTTCTGCACCTTAGCTGCCAAAAGATGGGTGCATGTCTGGTGTCTTATAATTCATCAATACTATGACTCAAATGTACATGTGGTTCCTGTATCATCAATTGAAACAATGGATAGTGAAACTTCATTTGCAAACACACTTTCACAATTCCCCATATATATTTTTTGAAGCTTATAGCGATCTGTGATCGTACTTACATGCAAACATGCTGACACGTCAGTTGGAATGCAGGTCAATTTGTTTATGTTTTATCAAATTCAAACAAAGATTGGGGCAATCTATGTAGTGTCTGTGTAATGCCAATTCAAACTCAAAAGCTGTTAGAACAATGAAAACAAAATTGCCTGCAAATAGTAACCTTGTTATTTATTTTTCCTGTTATTTTGAGTCTTTTTAGAAATTAGTGTTTTTCTTATCTCTCAAAAGAGAGTATCACTTAGGAAGTAAATTGAGGTTTTTTCCCTCGCATTTTCTAGTTGTTTCAAAAGAGAGTATCACTTAGGAACTAAATTGGATTGTATGATCGTAAGGTCGTGCCTGGTTACAGATTGGAGATTGCACTGCATATGTACTAAGTACAAACTACCTGTTTTGTGCACTTACCTTCTTCTGGAAACCTAGACTGAACAGTAATGCCTAGGGATGTATGTTCCGTTCCACTTGTTTTGGGTCATTGGGTCGACCGTTGTGCAAAACTTGTCAAAATGAACTAGAGTGGCATGCTAGGTAATTAATTTAAAGGGGGCAATGAACTAAACTAGCTGGCCACAAAATACAATCTGGTACCCTCTTTCATCTCTAGTGGCATTGATTGTGGGCAATTTTTCATGCAGGTATGCTTTCAAGTGTCACCGGAAATCTGAAGCTGGCAGGGACACCGTATATCCTGTCAATGCAATTGCTTTCCATCCCATGTAAAGCCTTGATGTTCCAGTTTCTTGTAGTTTGATATCTCACTGGATTATTAGTTCTCATTTTCTTGTCCTTGTGCAGATATGGAACATTTGCTACTGGAGGGTGCGATGGATTTGTGAATGTGTGGGATGGCATTAACAAGAAAAGACTATATCAGGTAAACCAAGTGAAGAGTTTTGCTTCATTGGGATGCTACTGTCTGAAACGTCTCTTGTATTCATGATTTCCTTACTTTTGGTTGCAGTACTCAAAGTACGCATCAAGCATCGCTGCTCTATCATTCAGTAAGGATGGCCATCTGCTTGCTGTGGCATCCAGCTACACCTACGAAGAGGGAGAAAAATCGTAATACTGAACTTTATCTGACAAATCTCTGTTTACATAAGACTTAAGAAAGAAAAATAAGGTAGACTCACCAGTGTTTTTGTGCATTTCAGGCATGAACCCGATGCTATATTTATCAGGACAGTGAATGAAGTCGAGGTGAAGCCGAAGCCCAAGGCATTAGCCGCCCCCCAGTAGTGTTGTGACCTGTTGGCGGTAGTATCAGTCACGTGGTTAGATGACGACTTCTCTAAGTTGATGTCAATTACATTAGTTGACGGCAGTGCCTGTTTGTGGTGAAAGAAGTGAAACGCCTGTTTCTCAGTCTGGGCCCTCATCTTTTGTGTTACTTGTCCGGGGAAACATTTCATGTTCCAGCTGATTGTAAATTGTGAGACAGATTATGTTTTAGTTTATTCGATCTTTCGTTGACTTGAACTTATTTATGTATTATTTAAGTATCGTAAATCTGGAACCTGGAGGGAAGAACTATACTGGCTTTGTTGTAACGATGCCAATTTCAATTTATAGGAGGGATTGAAGTTTGGAAAGTGGAGGGAAGGACTTGTGCCGTGCAGCGTGCAGGCGCAGCTTGTCCTTATTGAATTCCATCAAGGCCTTGTTCAGTTATCACAGAATGAACTATGGAAAGATTTCAGCCCAACACTAGCATAATTTGTATAAGGTGTAACGCCCAATCGCTTGAACTGTTTATCAGTTATGGTGTAGTGTTTTTTTTTTATAACAAATCAACATTAGTTGGTTTATCAGCCGTAGAAACTATTAGCCGAACAGGGAATAGTTCCCCCATAATGATGAAAGAATAAGGAAATTGGCATCTGAAAATTAGAGTACAATATTAACAAAAACATCTTCTACCAATATGCAATCATCGATATATACTTCGAAATAAAAAATTTAAACCAACTACTGTATGGGCTAAGAATAGACCGTAATTAAAGCATGTAGGTGTAATGGGGGAAGATGGGACCTAAGTGACTAAAATCATCAGGTGATAATTAATCATTTATTAAAAAAAACTTATGTTTCAGCGTAGGTAACCATTCAGCAACGGAAAAAAGGATCAGACACCTAGAATTAAAACTGCCCATTCAGCAGCTGAAAAAGGATCAGACACTTAGATTTTTTTTTTCGGGAACACGCATTCACGTGAATTTCATTAAGAAGAAGTCAGAGTGCCGAAAGAACGGCGTCACGACGCGACTATGGGAGAACCCATAGCGCAGGATACAAAACCAAAGAGCAAGTGGTTTAGAACGAAAAACACAAGGGAAAGCAAGAAGTGCAGCAGGTGAAGGGCCCTCCACCACAACCTAGCTGACTGGTCCTGCAACTAAAGATAACAATGCGAAGAACACGGCAAAGCATCCACAAGCACAAGGCGGCAAAGTATCCGTGGGCTGGTAGCAACTATGGCGGCAAAGCACCGGATCCGCAAGCGGCCAGGTAGCCGCTGCAAAGAAGACGACCAACGACGGCAAAGCATCCGTCGAGTACCCACAAGCAGGCAGGTAGCCACTACGAAGAAGACGACTGCGGCAACACCAATATCCGAGGTGGACAGACCAAAGCGAAGAGGAAGCTAAAATACAGGCAGGCACAACACAGCTAAGGAGCAAAACCGACGAGGAAAGCGGGAGATGGGCTGCAGCAGTGCCCCAACGAAGCCTTCATGAAGGATATAGACATCTGCAGGCGCCAACGACGCTGGAAAAAGCATACGAGTACGACTTTCGACCCCAAGCTGCCCCGGACAAACAGAGGTAAATGACGCAGGCTGTGCCACCGCCACTGGCCCTAGAAATCGGGAAGGGATCCGGTCCGCCGGGCGGTCAACTTGCCGAAGAGACATTTAGAATTATAATAACTGCTAACACTGCTAGAGATGAATAAGCAAAGCAACGGAAAAGATAAGGCACTGCTAATCCTTGAATAAGCAAAGCAACGGAAAAGATAAGGCACTGCTAATCCTTGAATAAGCAAAGCAACGGAAAAGATTGGGCTAGCTGTCTGCCATTGCTGTCATAGATAAGAGTTCTTGTTTTTTCTGCCACGTGAACTGTACAGGCAAAGCATCATCACCTGGGAATCCGTCAGCACGAAGAACTGAAGACATTTTGGGCGTGTTGGGAAAACGATTACCATGATGTCCATGGAGTGACGTGGAGCTCGATGACTCAAGTAGTCATCCTCCTTCCTCCGTGTGGTCGCCGGTCAGCATATCTTTTGGGCTGCTGATTCGGTCTGGTTACTGAGTGAACCGATGAATAGGTCTAGACGAAGCTTTTTCACATGACGACTGCCTCTAGCGGCGTGTTGGACAATTGGGCTCTGTTCCGAGAGCTTATCAGCGGTACCGTTTCAGTAAATAATATTATTATTTTTCACGATAAATCAGCATCAGCATTAGCATAGCAATACTCACGGCTACAGTTCTCATACTAGTTCTACACCAGCGACTTCAATTTGAAGTCAGTCACCCCCTTCTCTTCTAGAGCACGGTAATAGACGGCGGCTTGCGCCTTTATAAATGTTACTCCAGAAGAACAGCTAGACTTGATCACTAGAACCAGACTCAAGTAGCTAGTACATAGCTAATTAAGGAGCTCTCTGTCTTTTGTCTTCTCAAATTAGCTACTCATATATACACATGTGGATACCATCAATCAATGAATATATATACGAAGGCATATAGAAAGGGCAACCAAACACGACGAGATTCATGGCGTCAAAGTTATGTGAAGGTAAGATCGAGTTTCTTTTTTACTCTCTCTCTCTCTCTCCAGCCAATTAAGGACAATTATTGATGGTTTAGCATTTTCCCATCCACAGTCTACAGATAGCATGTAAATCGTCATTGCTCAGTCCTTCAATCAATTGTAAAAGGTCCCGTACTCTCTCGTATTATACTGTAGAGGCTGCTGGCGCCAAAGCAAACAAATCGTAAACCAAATTAATTAATCGACCCAACTTATTAGTTAGCAAACACCACTAAAAGCCGAATTAATCACTCATGGTACTAATAAATTAAACAGAAAATACACATATTTTTTTACTCTTGATTTCTGTTTTGGTTCTAATATATGCACAAATAACCATGATTAATACTTTTGTTAACAGGCTAATTAATCAAACAACTTGCACATATTAGCACAGGCGGATCTGGGCCTAAGGCCCCTAGGGCCCAGGCCTAGTCGTTGTCCTATATAGTTTTTCGGCCCACAAGTGAGGCCCATTAGGAAAAACACAAGGGCATGCTTCCCTTCTGAATTATGCTTCTCGAGCGTCAGCGACCACGACTCCGTGAGCGAGACCGTCAGCGCCGCCCGCCAGCCCTCCACCGCGCCGGCCAACGTCCGACCGGCGACCACCCCTCCCCTGTGGCCCCTGCCAACCTCCCAGGCGCGGGGCGCCCAGCAGCCCATGGACGGACAGCCCACCGGCCACCGCGTCGTCACGCCGGGCGCCGGCTGGCGGCTGCGGATGCCGGACGGCCAGGGGCCCAGGGCGCGGCCCCGTCCTCCACTCCTCCCTCCTTGGCTCTTCCGAGGGCAGAGGCCCGAGCAGCCCAGCCCGAGGCTCAGGCTCTGGCGCTCAGCTGACCGCTGGTAGCCTCTAGCCTGGTACTGCTCCCTTCCCCTGAATCAATTCCTACTTAATTAGATTGAAAACTGAAATTAGAAACAATGAAACATCATATCGACGAGATGTTAGGTATTTATTTTTATCTCATCATGTGTGTCGTGCAATGTTGTTAGCAATTTTAGTTCAATCATCAGATCAAATAGAAGTTTTATTTGTGTCTTAGTTATTTATGCGTGTGGCTCGATGGCTGTAGTAAATCCCTAGTCGTCAGTAGTAATTTCACCGCTAGGTAGTGGCCCTAGTCATCAGTAAATCCCGGGTCCACCACTGAGACCCATAGTGTAAGGCGCCTGGCTTGGGGTTCAATTGAAAGAGTATATGCTTAGGAGCCTGGCTTGGGGTTCAGGAGGTAGTGCTGCGAACTCAAGTTCGGGTGCTATGTCTTTCTTCGGGGTCTCCTCATTCACTTCGGGTGTGTTTGGTCTGTGGAGTCACCCCATGCTTCATGAGGTGTTCCATCATGAGTTCATTACTTCATCCCATGAATTTTTGTTGGAATCAACCCATTCCTCATGCATATACTAATTATTAGCTTGTGAGGAATGAGGTGATGATAGATCAACTCATTCCATTCCACAAAACCAAATAAAAAAAGTGAGACGTGAGAAGAAGATGGACCACCTCATTCCTCAAACCAAACACACCCTTCCTATCCTATATAGAGAGCAGATTTATTAGTTGTATGTACTAAATTTATCTAAGACTTTTTTATTAGTAGTTATATAACATTATATTCTTGACTGTTTAGTTGAAGCACGAGTTGACGGGGACTTGATGATTACTTATACAGGTAAAAGGTTGTTACTACTGCTTATGGGGGCTATCCTAATCCTGCCGCATAGTACTACAGTTCATGGGGCCAGTGCTGGGAACTTCAGCCTAGCTCTGCCCAATTGCCCAGAGAAGTGTGGCAACATGAGCATCCCTTACCCGTTCGGCATTGGGAAAGACAGCCTAGGCAAAGACTGCTTCCTGAAGAAAGATTTTGAAGTCATATGCAATACCAGCCAGCAAGCTCCAACTATCTATATCTATACGGGGGGAGGATCAGTACCGTACTCCAAGGTGTTGAATTTCAGTCTTCTTGATGGTGAGGCACGCATTCAGAATAGAATACACTGGAGCTGCAAATACCCGAACAGTAGCAATATCACGAATGATGAATTCCCAGCATTATCACTAAATCTCGGGAATTCTTTGAAGGTTTCCTACACTAAGAACAAATTTACAGCAATCGGGTGTGCAACCCTTGCAAACATAAGGGGTTCTACGGATGAAATCATTGATTTTGATTTTAACAACTTGCGCTACACCAGCGTTTGTTCATCGTTCTGCGACAGTGAAGTGAGAATCAGTAGGGGCCCCAACTGTGATGGCTTGGGTTGTTGTCAGATTTCACTTCCACCACGTCTGTCGGCCTTCTATTTCGGATTTTTTTTACGACGATGATTTACTACATAATCCCTTCGCCCAAGGTTTCAGCCCTTGCAGCTACGCATTCGTCGTCGAGGTCAGCGAATTCAAATTCGACCGTTCCTATGCTGAATATTCAAATTTCCAGAAACAAGACGGTGTCCCTTTGGTCCTTGATTGGAGTGTTGGTTCTGAAACTTGCGAGGAAGCCAAGAAGAACTCATCATCTTTTGCCTGTCGCACCTTGAACAGTGTATGCATCAACGCGACAAATGGTTCAGGGTACCGCTGCATCTGCTCTCAAGGTTACCAAGGCAATCCCTACCTAGACGAAGGGTGCCAAGGTCAGCATGCATATACTTCATAACCACTTCTTTGTTTTCTCTCTCTTTGTACTGATTGGTCTTGTCTTTGCCGTCGGTTCGTGTACTGATTCAACAACAACAACAACAACAAAGCCTTTAAGTCCCAAACAAGTTGGGATAGGCTAGAGTTGAAACCCATCAGAAGTAATCAAGGTTCAGGCACATGAATAGCTGTCTTCCAAGCACTCCTATCTAAGGCTAAGTCTTTGGATATATTCCATCCTTTCAAGTCTCCTTTTATTGCCTCTACCCAAGTCAACTTCGGTCTTCCTCTGCCTCTCTTCACGTTACTATCCTGGCTTAGGATGCCACTACGCACCGATGCCTCTGGGGGTCTCCGTTGCACATGTCCAAACCATCTCAACCGGTGTTGGACAAGCTTTTTTTCAATTGGCGCTACCCCTAATCTATCACGTATATCATCATTCCGAACTCGATCCCTTCTTGTATGACCGCAAATCCAACGCAACATACGCATTTCCGCGGCACTTAGCTGTTGAACATGTCGTCTTTTCGTAGGCCAACATTATGCACCATATAGCATAGCAGGTCTAATCGTCGTCCTATAAAACTTGCCTTTTAGCTTCTGTGGTACCCTTTTATCACATAGGACACCAGACGCTTGCCGCCACTTCATCCACCCTGCTTTGATTCTATGGCTAACATCTTCATCAATGTCCCCGTCCCTCTGTAGCATTGATCCTAAATATCGAAAGGTATCCTTCCTAGGCACTACTTGACCTTTCAAACTAACATCTTTCTCCTCCCGAGTAGTAGTGCCGAAGTCACATCTCATATACTCAGTTTTAGTTCTGCTGAGTCTAAAACCTTTGGACTCCAAAGTCTCCCGCCATAACTCCAGTTTCTGATTCACTCCTGTCCGGCTTTCATCAACTAGTACTACATCGTCCGCGAAAAGCATACACCAAGGGATGTCCCCTTGTATGTCCCTTGTGACCTCATCCATCACTAAAGCAAACAAATAAGGGCTCAAAGCTGACCCTTGATGTAGTCCTATCCTAATCGGGAAGTCATCCGTGTCTCCATCACTTGTTCGAACTCTAGTCACAACATTGTTGTACATGTCCTTAATGAGCCCGATGTACTTCGTTGGGACTTTATGTTTGTCCAAAGCCCACCACATAACATTGCTTGGTATTTTATCATAAGCCTTCTCCAAGTCAATAAAAACCATGTGTATGTCCTTCTTCTTCTCCCTATACCGCTCCATAACTTGTCTTATTAAGAAAATAGCTTCCATGGTTGACCTTCCGGGCATGAACCCAAATTGGTTCACAGAGACCCGCGTTATTGCTCTCAAGCGATGCTCGATAACTCTCTCCCATAGCTTCATAGTATGGCTCATCAACTTAATTCCCCGATAATTAGTACAACTTTGAATATCCCCTTTATTCTTGTAGATCGGTACCAATATACTTCTCCTCCACTCATCAGGCATCTTGTTTGATCGGAAAATATGGTTGAACAGCTTGGTTAGCCATACTATAGCTATGTCCCCGAGGCATCTCCACACCTCGATTGGAATACCATCTGGTCCCATCGCCTTACCTCCTTTCATCCTTTTCAACGCCTCTCTGACCTCAGATTCTTGGATTCTCCGCACAAAGCGCCTATTGGTGTCATCAAAAGAGTCATCCAACTAAAAAGTTGTGTCCATATTCTCACCATTGAACAATTTATCAAAATACTCTTGCCATCGATGTCGGATCTCATCCTCCTTCACCAAGAGATGCTCCCTTTCATTCTTAATGCACTTAACTTGGTTGAAGTCCCGTGTCTTTCTCTCACGAACCCTAGCCATCCTATAAATGTCCTTCTCTCCTTCCTTCATACTCAAATGTTGGTAAAGATCCTCGTACGCTCTACCCTTTGCCACACTTACAGCTCGCTTTGCAGTCTTTTTTGCCACCTTGTACTTCTCTATGTTATCCACACTCCTATCATGGTTCGTGTACTGATTCTACTCGCCTATTTATTCGAACAGACATCAATGAGTGTGATGACCCATCTATATATCCTTGCATTAATGGTAACTGCATCAACACCATTGGGAGCTACAATTGTTCATGCCCAGGAGGAACCGAGAGCAAGGATCCCAAGAATATAGCCTGCACTCCAGTTTCTGACACGAACAAAAGTATTTTGGTTGTCATCATTGGTATAGGAGTTGGTAGCGCGGCAGGCTTTATGATTTTGGTTGTCATTGCATTCTTTATTACTCAAAGGTTTAAGCACAGGAGGGCAATGAAGTTAAAACAAAAGTATTTTGAGCAGAATCGTGGACAATTATTACAACAGTTGGTATCCCAAAGGACTGACATTGCGGAAAGAATGATCATAACTGTGGATGAGCTTGCAAAGGCAACCAACAACTTTGACCCAGCTCGTGAGCTAGGTGGTGGAGGGCATGGTACATCATTTACAAAGGTATTTTGTCGGATCTACATGTTGTGGCTATCAAGAAGTCAAAGATAACAGTCCAAAGAGAAATAGATGAGTTCATAAACGAGGTTGCCATTCTCTCACAGATCAACCAGGAATGTAGTAAAAATTTTGGGATGTTGCCTAGAAGCGGAGGTCCCATTGTTGGTTTATGAGTTTATTTCCAACGGAACCCTTTGTCACCATCTTCATGTTGGGAGTCCAAGATCACTATCATGGAGAAAGCAGGTTAAGGGTCGCATCCGAAATTGCAAGTGCCATTGCCTATCTCCACTCATCACTTTCAATCCCAATCATCCATAGAGATATCAAATCTAGTAACATACTTCTTGATGATACGCTAACATCAAAGGTGTCGGACTTTGGAGCATCAAGGTACATTCCATTGGATAGAACAGAATAACCACAGTTGTCCAAGGGACTATAGGATACTTGGACCTGTGTACTTTTATGAAGGCCGCCTCACCGACAAAAGTGATGTCTACTGACTTTGGTGTTATTGTTGTGGAATTGTCGACAAGGAAGAAACCATTTTCATATTTTTCATCTAACGGCGAGGGCCTTGTTGCACATTTTTCCAAATTACATGGTGAAGGCAATCTGATCGAAATACTAGATCCTCAGGTTATTGACGAGGGAGGCCAAGAAGTCCAAGCAGTGGCCGCACTTGCATCATCATGTATAAGGTTAAGGAGTGAAGAACGACCAACCATGAGACAAGTGAACCGTGCACTAGAAGGTCTTCTCTCACCTGAGAATCATGCAGGGGCTAATAATATGTTGGCAGAGGAATTTGATGAGAATGGTCAGATGATGATAGGTTATCCATCGCCTGATGAGGGGCAAAGCATGGGGGAATCTACTAGATGGTACAGTTTGGAACAAGAATCATTGATGGTTGTGCATTCTCGGTAGACAATTTCTTGGCATGCCCATGTTGTGATATTTGTAATGAGTGTGCACTTGTCTAAACAAAATTGGAGCTAATATCCATGAGTTCAGTTTACTTCGATTCCAATAAATATGATGCATTACTTTAGGGCTCTTCCAGAAGATATTTATATAATACTTATATATGGCTCCGAGTTGCTATTGTGCACTGATCACTTGATGAATAGAGTTGAGAGAGTTTTTGGTCTAAGGCCCTGTTTGGATACGCTTGTCTGAGAATCGATTTTAATAGGCTTTTCCAATAAGCTGCGAACTCTGATTCTAGTTGTTTGGCAATCCTAATTATTTCCCATAGATTCTTTGTCATGAGTGTAAAATAACACGTATGCCTCTGATTTTGAATATGAACTCTGAAACTATAGTACTGGATGAAAGAGTTTTATCACAGTCCATGAACTTCAATCTTGTAATCTTTTTCTCGATCGGGGAAAGGTAACCAAATGTTACAAGGACGATCCAACCGACTCGCAAGTAATCATTGGATTACCAACGCGATCCCACAGGCACAAATGAGCAGCAAGAAAACATGAGGGGGGAGACCCTCCACCTCAAAACCCTAACTGACTGAGCCTAATGCAAGAAGACAACACATTGGTAGCCAGTAGTGTAGTGAGTGAAACCGCAGAGACGACGAAGCAAGCTTCAACCTCGGCGGCAAAGCATCCGCCAAGGGCGCCAGCACGACAATAGCGGCAAAGCATCCGCTGGAGAAGAGACCACGGCGGCAAAGCATCCGCCAGAACTGCAGCATGGCGGCAAAGCATCCGCCAGAAACGACGACCATCAACGCGGCAAAGCATCCGCGGATGGGGGGCCATCACGCTCACAGCAGCAAAGTATCTGCATGAGAGGGGAGATTGAAGCGACACCAGCGGCAAGGCAACCACCCGAGCAACATGACGGCAAAGCATATCCGTCCAAGAATAGCGACAACGATAGCGGCAAAGCATCCGCTACAGAGAAGCAATCGACTGCGGCAACACCAACCAACTACTGGACAAACCAAAGCGAGGAGTAGCATGAAGCACAATCAGGCATAGCACAGCGAGGAGCAACTCCAGGCAGGGAAGCGGAAGGAGCAGAAGCACGGCAGGGGACAGGAGGAGCGCTCCAACGACGCCTTCAAGAAGGGAACTGACATCCGCAGACGCCATCATCGTTGACAGAAGCACACGGGGATTTTCATCCCAGAACCTGCCCCCGCGACCTGAACAGTGAAGGCTTCGACGACGCCTTCAGGAAGGGAAATGACGCAGACTGCGCCACCGCCGGCAGCCGAGAGCAAGAAGCCGGGCAGGGTAGACACCCAAGCACAGTAGTCGACACCGTGGGTCGGGGATGAAGCAAGGGCTCCACCACGACGAGGGAGAAGCCGGCCACGGCCTGGCCGCCATGGTGCGCCAAGGGCGCCCCGGCCCATCCGCCATGGAGCTCCACGGGCTGTGCAGAACTAGCCAGCCCGGCCCCCAGATGCACACGATGGAGGCTTGTCCACGACGTTCACAGAACACCGGACTGGAAGGGAGACGGAGCCGGACCAGTGGTACGCCACGCCGCCACCAGCCGCGGAGCAGGACGCCCGCTGCCACGGCCGCCGACACCGAAGCCGCATCGGCCATAGGCGCGGCGCCCGGGCCATAGCCAAGAGGAGCGGTGGCGGACAAGGACGCCGGAACCGGCAGTCCCGGCGCGAGATCCGGACCCTGAGGTCCAGGATCCGCCCCACCGGCGACCCGTCCCATCGGAGAAAGAAGGGGGTCGCCGTCGCATCCGCCCTGGGCAGGTCCACTGGCACCGCGACATCCACCGGATCTGGAGCAGAGCTCGCGAGATCTGGCCATGGAGGGCTTGGATCCGACCTAACGACGACGCCAACTGCCGGAGTTACTAGAGAAGAGGAGGTGTGGTGGGGGTGGAAAGGGGAGGGGGCGCGAGTATGCGGTGGGAGGCCCGTTTTTTAGCACCGCCGCTGGCCGCCGCTTGCCGGAGAGAGGCGGCGGCGGCTGCCGAAGGAGAGGAAAGGGCGGGGTCTGGTAGCGCCGGCAAGAGACCCCCCGAGTCGCCCCTTGGGGAGCGCTGGGGGTCAGGTTTCTTATCCTTAACCTGGCCAGGTTTCTTGTAATCCAATCATTTATTCGCTCGAGTACCTAAACCACAATCATAGAACTACGTATCAGGAACAACGACTTTGATTAAGGCTGGTTGAATTGTTCACATATGAAATCAAAGAAAAGGATCAAGGAACACGTATTGTTGGCAGGTTAAGTTGAGCCCTGCGCACAGCACTAAAGCAAAGCAGCAGTAGCCCTTCACCGCTGGGCATCCCAACGTGGGCAGCACCACTCTACCTCTCCCTTCCTCGTTTTCTTGTTGTGCCAGCCTGCTTCGAGCTTGTAAATGTCTAAGCACCCGCCAATCGCTTGATTCCACCGACGTAATCGCCAGAACGCCAGTGTCGCTGGGCGTAGAGCTTACCACTGGTAGCTGCTAGGAGAAGTAATTTTTCGCGCTAAGAGATCACAGCCGCTAATAGCTGTTTAGCGGGAATGAGGCCTGCTCTGGTCTCTCACGCTCGTCTCTCCCAGTTCTCCACAGAAAGCGACAACTGTGTCCAGTCCCCAGAACACAGATCCCCGAGGCAGCGGCGAACCGGAGACGGCGCGCGGTGCGGCACGGCTCTCCCGAAGCGGTGGCACAGTGCGGTGCGTTGCGGCGCGCCACGGCTCTCCCCAAGCGGTGGCTGGTGGTGCGGCGTCGTTCTGCTCTTCCCCCAAGTGGCGGCGGCGGCGGCGGCGGCACCTGCAAGCCGGAGCCGGCTGCAGTAGAGGCTTGGAGTGGTGACTACGAGCGGCGGCGGGCGGGCAGCGGTTACCAGCATCGGCGGCGGAGAAGCTACGAGCAGCGGAGGCAGGTACGGTGGGTTCGCGGTTGAAATGCCGAGACACTATGGCAACAATTTGGCAAGTTACTTGTTTACTCTTGTTAGAATCTCATCTTTTGCTTGTCCGATGGTGATGAATTTGCTATTATACGGTAGTATTACCTTAGCTTCTGATGTACTCTCATAAATTGGTAATGAATCAACGATAAATTGTTAATGAATCAATTAGTAATTTTATCAAATTATGCAAGGTTCTGTGTTTTTTTCTTCTTCTCATTTTTTATTAAAAAAAAGAGCTAAATGGCTTAGGTGTAGCTATCTCCGGCTATAGCTAAGAGGCTTAGGCAGAGATTTAAAACCTTGGCTCTTGCCCATGCTTATGTTTGCCTGTTGTTTGATCCGATTTTTAGTGCAGCTGATATTTCTTTTGAACCAGAACAACAGAGATATGACCCTGTTCGTTTCGCTGAAATTTGACTTACGTTGATTTGTTGTGAGACAAAAAAAAAGTACTACTGAAGCAGTTCAAGCGATTCTAGTCTGATTTTTGTTCAATGCTCTGAAGCTGACAGAGGCTCGTCCACGGAAGGTGTACGTCCAAAACCCAAGACTAAGGGTTAATTGATCTATGCCATTATAATTTCTTCGTTTCCGAAGAACGCTATTACTATTTGTCTATTTAGAAGCATGTCATTATAATTCTTCGGTTCCAACAAAAATGTCACTGAATACGTATGGACACAGCTTGGGCCCAGCTGCAATCGTATACGAAGACGTATACTTCATCTCCCCTGTCACTGACACGTGGGCCCCACATGTTATCTTCTTCCTCCTCTCCTCCGAATCTCTCTCTCCGGTTCTCTCTCTCCATCCCGAGCGCCAGGCTGCCGCGGGTTGCTGCCTCCGCGGGTCGCCCATGGCGATGGCCGCCGCCGCCGCCGTGGGTCGCTGCCTCCTCCTTTCCCGCTCGTCCCCTTTCCGGCTCCGCCTCCTCCGCGCCGCCCTCTCCACCGCCGCCCCCACCCTCGGCCCCACCTCCACTCCCGCTCCCCCTCCGCGGCACGAGCTCCTTCTCAAGCGCCTCCGCCTCCGCCGCCTCAAGGACGCCTCGTCCCCTGGCGTCCCAAGTCCCGCCTCGAGGGCCGCGGAGCGAAGCTCGCAGCAGGGGAAGGGGAAGAGGGTCGAGGCCGCCGAGAGCTTCGAGGAGCTCGGCCTCGGGGAGGAGGTGATGGCCGCGCTCGGGGAGATGGGCATCTCAAGCCCATGAAGCAGCGAAGAAGAAGCAGAAGACAAGCCCTCCTTGCTCTCTGCGCCTCCACCAAGCACCGCCGCTGCCATTGCCGGGGTCGACCCGAGCTCGTCGATCTCCTCGCACAAGCCATCTTGCGCCCTTCCGCTGCTTCCATCGGCTTCGCAAGCGCTCCCTCTCCGTCTCTCTCTCTCTCTCTCTCTCTCTCTCTCTCTCTCTCTCTCTCTCTCTCTCTCTCTCTCCGCCATTATACGCCATTATACGGCCACGGCGAGCAGCAGCGGCGGCCTGGGCTAGGGGCGGGGAAGGGGCCGGTGCCTGCTGGAGCTCGCGGGGACGGGGATGGGACCGCGCCTGCCGTATCCATGGAGGAGGAGGTCCGACGGACACTGGCCATGGAGGAGGAGGCGCCCGTCGCCGGGAAGACCAAAGAGACGCTGAAAGCGGCGAAGACGAAAGCGATGGCGCAGCGAGGTCACGACAATGACTCGTCGGCTCGCCCGCAAGCCCGTAGCCGCCGCCGCCGCCGCCGGCAGCGCCCGCCGTGGTCGCGTCGGGATGGAGAGAGAGAGAGAGAGAACGAGAGAGAGATGAGGAAGAGGAAGATGACATGTGGGGCCCGCGTGTCAGTGATAGGGAGATGAAGTATACGTCTTCGTATACGCCTGCAGCTGGGCTCAGGCTGTGACCATATGTATTCAATGGTATTTTTGTGGGAAACGAAGAATTGTAATGACATACTTACAAATAGGCGAATAGTAATGACGTTCTTCATAAACGAAAAAATTATAAAAAATTATAATGACATACAAAGACTCTGACCCCCGTGGAACTCTGCTTCCAAAAATCGGTGGCATTATAGCTGCCACCCGGCCCTTACGAGGATGACAGCTTGCCACTAGAATCATATATGCCAAATCTAATCCCATGCATGTATCTAACGGAGACAACTCCTCAGTCCCAATTATCCAGTCGCCACGCCAGCTATAGTCTGGAACTAAGCATTTTTGCTCCATCGATCGGGTTCCAAGCAGTCGTGTTCCGAGGTAGAGTGGTTTTATTAGAGACAAGTTGGTACCGAGAATAATATAATGGCGTTTAATTAGCATGACGACAGAAACAGTCTTGGCAGCATGAGGAAGCACGTGCCGTAGACTCCGAGACGCGATGCCTCTGCTGAGAATGGACGAGGGCCAATATAGAGCGGCATCATGGTGTTGCTGTGATGAATTCCGTGGAAACAAACCATGTCTCTGGCCCAAGGACAAACAGGAGCTTGAGCGTCGCACGTAGCTAGCTAGCAAGTACCTGCTGGACCTCCCTCTTCGCCGGCCGGCGGCGCCCGATGCCTATGCAGAGCACCAACAGATTGCAGACACGACGCATGGCTTGGTCATCACTTACGGGTAAGATTTCATGTTACCCCTCGATCGTGACAATAACTGAATGTTTAGGACTAGAGCGTACTAATACAATTGCACGGTTCTGTCTGCGTGCAACTAGCTAATCAACTATAGGCAGCTAGAGATGTAATAAAAGAATTCTTTGTATACTCACCACACAACTGAAACGACTACGCTTAAAAAACTACTACAGCAATCTGCACTAACACTGATGTTGCTGCTTCAGCAGCTGCCTTCAGCACAGTGCTTCTGGCTTGTTCGGCGGCTGTTTTTTACAGCCATTGATGTTGCTGCTTCAGCAGCTGCCTCTCAGAGAAGCACTGTGCTAATAGCCAGCTGCTGCTGCTTTTACAAGCAGCCGAACGTAGAAAAATTTCCTATTCATCCTGTACTTTTTTTTTGAAATTGAACTGATTCATGTGAAATTATACATAATTTCTCTGAAATTCATACATGATTTCTGTGAAATTCTTCCATTCCAAACAAATATATATTATTTATTTGCTCAATCAATCGTTTCATGATGTGCAGGTAATACGAAGTTATTACTAGTAGTTGTTATTGTGGCCGCGACCCTGTTCCTGGAGCATACTGCTGCTGCAGCTGATGGGACTACAGCAGCCACCAGAATCAGAAGCATGGCTTTGCCAGGTTGCCCAGACAACTGCGGCGACACCGTCATCCCCTACCCATTTGGCACCAAGCACGGGTGCTTCCGGGAAGGCTTTAACGTCACATGCGACAACAATAATCAAGCTGCATACCTCGGGTGGTCTGCCATCAGGAGCCTAAAGGTTTTGGGGATCAATCTCAGCCAAGGGGAGGCCCTCGTCCAGAAGCGCATAACCATGTGGTGCATCAATGATACGGATGTGCAGAGCCCCAGCTTCAAGCTCATGAGTCCTTACTTGACTGGGTCCTCGGAAATGAGACTTGTGTGGAAGCCATGACAAAGCAGCCGTCGACATATGCATGCCTCGCCGAGAAGAGCATATGCGTCGACACGCCCAATGGCCTGGGGTATCGATGCAACTGGTCTCCAGGTTACGAGGGTAATCCTTACATACCACAAGGGTGTCAAGGTCAGAATTAATGCACGTACAGCTTTCTAATTTTTTCCTCTTCGATCGTACCGATGCATCATACATGCACTGATGTGTGCATATATTCTGGTGTGGCTTAATTACCTTTTTATGCTAATATTGATTCCCCTCTCTCGGTTAATGTGTGTGCAGACATCAATGAATGTGATAATCCATCCATTTATCCTTGTAAAGGTACTAAATGTCATAACACCGATGGAAACTACACCTGTTCGTGCAAACCAGGAACTCATAGTGACGATCCGAAGAACATACCGTGCACTGGGAGCAGGGGCAGCAGCAAGATGGTCATAGGTAATAACCCACCAAAAGGAGATGAACCTCTGTGATTTGATCTTAGTGTGTCAATTCTGATACAATTTAATATCAACACTTCTTCCTTATTTCAATAGATATATGGGCATGCAAAAAGTTCACTCCACCAGTTGAATTGACGATATATAGCCATGCATCCATTTTCAGGAATTTCATTATGCTCGATCCTCATCGTTGTTTGTATCTTCATTCTACTAAACGTGTGTCAGAAAAGGAAGCTGGCAAAAGACAAGGAGAGGTTCTTCGTAGAAAATGGTGGAATGATATTATATCAACAAAGTCTCTCTAGACAGGTTGAAACAGTAACAATATTCACCTTAGAAGTTCTCAAGAAGGCAACAAACAATTTTGACAAGAGCAGGGAACTGGGTAAAGGGGGCCAAGGCACTGTCTATAAGGGCATTCTGAGTGACAAAAAGGTAGTAGCTGTGAAGCGCTCCAAGGTTATCAACATGTCCCAAAAGGAAGAATTTGTGCAGGAGATTATTATACTTTCACAAATCAACCACAAGAATGTGGTCAGGCTTCTAGGCTGCTGCTTAGAAGTGGAAGTACCCATATTGGTGTATGAACTCATCCCAAATGGCACTCTGTTTCATTATATTCATGGCAACCACGATAATAGACCACCCATTTCGCTTGAAGTTCGTCTCAGGATTGCCCAAGAGTCTGCTGAAGCACTGACATATATGCATCTCTCTATCAACCATCCCATAGTCCATGGCGATGTCAACTTGTCAAGTCTCTTAATATTCTCCTAGATGAAAACGATATGGCAAAAGTAGCTGACTTTGGGGCGTCAAGGATGCTTCCCAAGGATGCGATTCAGTTAATGACGATGGTACAAGGAACCTGGGGTTACCTAGATCCAGAGTACCTGCAAGAGCGAAAACTTACAGAGAAGAGTGATGTTTACAGCTTTGGGGTTGTGCTTCTTGAGCTAATTACTAGGAAAAAGGCAATATACTCTGAAGGCCCTGAGGAAGGAGAAAGCCTAGCATCATCCTTCCTACATGCAATGAAAGATAACAGAGTTGAAGGCATCTTGGACACAAGCATAATGGGTGAGGAAATGGTGGAACTTCTACAAGAAGTTGCTGAGCTAGGGAGACAGTGCTTGAGCGTCAAGGGGGAGGATAGGCCTTCCATGGCCCAAGTAGCCGACAAGCTGAAAGCTGTTCGCACTAGTTGGAGGGAGCTATTGCTATTGAAGCGTTATAAATCTGATGTTGTAATTGAGAGGTCAAGCGTGACTTCCGACGTGTCCCCATGTATGTACTCAACATCGCAAACATCATCGATGGACATAGAAACAGCAAATGCATACCATGCAAGTAGTAGTAGTAGTAGTAGTAGTACCTGCACGCCATGAGAATTTTCATATATAGACGCAACCATGTACCACATACGACTTAGAGTTGCTGTTTGAAGATACTTTCCTTCTGTATCGATGTTGGCATTTTTTTTCCTTTAAGTACTACTACTTTGCGATAGATGTTGCATTCGGGTGACCGTCCCGTCCGGACACGCCTCCCGTGGGCTCGTAGAGCTGCGCGGGTCGCTCCCTCTCATGACCCATCAAAAACTACTCTCCATCATTGAGAATGGGCGCATTTCTTTTCCTCCTAGCCGACACCGCTCCTCTCCATCGCGTGCGTCGCTCGCTACCTCCATGACCGGCAGCGGCCCTCTCATCTCCATCGTGTGCGCCGCCGGCTCCCTCCCTGGCTGGCGGCGGCGCCCTCCCCCACCACGGCATCCTCCTCCCCCACCCTGGCGGTGCCTTCTCCCACACCAGTGGCTCGTTCACGCACCCCGATGTCCTCCTCCCCCACCCCGGCGACTCCTTCCCCTGCCCTGGCGTCCTCCTCCCCCACCCAGGTGGCGCCCCTCCCCCGACACCGGCGTCCTCCCCCACAAGGATCTCCCAATGCCCTCAGATCCGGCCCCCATGGCGCTCCCAGTGCCAGGCTCTCTCTCTCTCTCTCTCCCCTGTGTTGCAATTATATGTTTCAATTGTTTCAGACGTTTCAGAGATATGTTGCAGTTGAATCACATGGATGTTGCAAAAGTAGATCGGGGAGATGTTGCACATGTTGCAAGTGTTTCAAAGCCTTGTTGCAAGCATTTGTTCAAAATGTTTCACCTGTTTCTAAACGTATGTTGCAATCATTCTGACTGGATGTTTGATATACTTCACACAAATGTTGCAGTAATATGTTCCAAGTGTTTCAGTTGCTTCAGTCTTATCTTGCAGCAGTTGTTCCATGTTTCAAGTGTTTCATTCGAGCGTTGTTTTTCATATGCTTCAAACAAATGTTGTAATAATATGTTCCTAATGTTTCATCTACTTTAGTCTTATGTTGCAGCAGTTGTTCTATGTTGTTGCAAGTGTTTTATTCGAGTATTTTATGTTGTTCGGCTGGGGGGGAGGAGTGAGCCAGAAGACGAGGGCGCGTGGCTCGTCGGGGGCCTAGCGGGATGGAGGCGCTGGGGCCGGCGGACAAAGGTGCTACGGTTAGAGGGGCGCAGGGGCGTGCTCGTCACGCGTGGGGCGGTGCGAAGGCGGACGTGGCGGGCTGCAGGGCGAGCTAGGGGCGCGCGGCTCACCGAAGGGCTAGCGGACTGGGCCGGGGCCGCACTGGGGGCGTGCGCGTGGGGCGGGGGCGAAGGCGAAAGTGGACGCGGGGGTTTGAGCACTTGAGCGGGCGTCCGGACACGCGTGGTGCGCCGGACGTCCGGGCGCTAGATTAGTCGGGTAAAGATCTTGTCTCCAGCGGCACTGCCATAATCAGGTCGTCTACATAAAACCCTGACTTTTGGACTCTATTTTTTCAATCTTGGAGATGCTCTTAAGTTGCTATCCCGGGATGCAGAAGATGGGAGACGTTGATCATAGTCGTCTTCCTGAAGTTCGTCTGGAGCTTCATGAATCGTATCGAAGCCTAGTGTTTTTGCTTTGTTCGTTGCGCCCACTAGTTGGGCTAAACTTTCCTTTTTTTCCTTGGTCGTCTAGGCCTTATATCGTTGGTGTTTTTATGTGACTACTATTAGCAGTGTATCATCCACGGATAGTACAGGCTAGAACTTTTGTTCCATTATCTAAAAAGTAAGTTGTTATCTCACTACATAGGGTTCATGAACTAGTTTCTGGTAAGAGAAGCCTGGATTTATAACTATTAGCAACCTTTTCTGAACAATAGTAAAAGCTTCCATCCAAGTTCAAAAAAAAACTTCCATCCTTCGCAAAAAAAAGCTTCAATCACAGCACGAGATTGCCACACATACATGGAGTATTAAATATAGATTTAAAAAAATAATTAATTGCATAGATTGCGATCAATTTGTGAGACGAATTTTTTAAGCCTAATTAATCCATGATTTGACAATATGATGTTACCGTAAACATGTGCTAATGACGAATTAATTAAGTTTAATAAATTTATCTCGTGGATTTCTAATAACTTTTATAATTTATTTTATTATTATTATCTAAACAATCAATATGACACCTAAAATAACACCTGACGTGACACTCCTCGTCAGTTTTACCCACTCGATTTAAACACCCCGTGTACGTCCAAGAGACCAAGACTTGCCGGAGGGTCACGGTCAAGCCAGGTTCCTGTATGTCTGGCAGGCACGCAGCCTCACTCGTCAGTCCTCGCCTCGCCCCGCGACATACGGCGATGTGCTGGAGGATTTTAGCTGGAAAAAGTTTTCATTTGCTGTGGATAAGGATAGCAACCGGGATATACCCGTCGGATATCACAGAACGTTCTTTTTCCCGCTACGAAGGATTCATTCTGTCTCCGTCCCCGTTAACTATCTTGGGTATAGATTCTTGCTCATCTTCGTACTCGTCGGACATTGGTCGGTAACAGATACCCGACGGATACTTCCTACCCGATAAACAAGGACACTTGGGGTCGCAGCTTTGCAATCGGAGACGTTTCTTCTTCACCCGGGTATAAGTGTCGAAGTCTCGGAGATGCCGAGGAGAAGGAGCGAGATTGCGAGGAGGACAAGCAAAGGTGGCAGAGAGACCGAACTGAGGAAGCGAGGGGCACGAGCGCTCGTGAGGTAGGCGTGCTTGTGCTACTGGCGGAGATGGTGACAAAAAATTGAACTAGGGTTCCTAGAACACACAAACTATATATATGATTGTTCAGATTTGGGCCAAAATACCTATGTTAAGCTTCTTTGGGCCTAATACTCGCATGACAGCTCAAATAGTCGGGTTCCCCAACGGGTAACGGGGACGGGTAAACATGGAACGTTCCTGTACCCGCTATACCCATCGGGTATGGATTCTTGTCCATTTAGATGCCCGCGGGTTAAGATATAATCCCATCCCTATTTTCTAATGGATCAAATACCCGTCGGGCATCGGGTATCGGGCCCGTTGCCATCTTTAGCCGTGGAACATGCAATGGATGCAAGCACGATATAGTCAAGAGTAGAATTCCATCGAGCGATGCTTCATTCAGCGGCCGCGTGTTTCAAGCTCACAGTCACAGCCGTGTTCAACTCTTCATCCAAACATCAGTGTCAGTGCGAACACAATATATGTCCATGTGGTTCGGATTCGTGATAAGTGATTGTCAATGTGATTCACGTTTTGGGTTGAGTTTGTGAACTAACCATGGCATGAGTTAAGTTGTGCAACATGTTTCTTGGTTTGTGGTGCGCAGGTGTGGAGCTCGGAGGCGGTGGTCGACAGCGAGGTGAAGGTCAAGTAGGGGCGTGCCGTGTCGATGTACCGGGAGCGGTGAAGGACGGATGTGAGACTTGGACTGAGGGACCAGGAGTCTAGGTGACCAGCCGCGATAGCTGATATCTAGGGACATCGACAAGCGCAAGTGTACATGGATTGAACGTGTTGACCGAGTCAAGACGGCGGTCGAGCGGGGCTCTGGAAGACTTGGCGGCCGGTCAGTCAAGGACGGCGGTGACACTCGTCGAGTGACGGTGGATGTGTATGGAGTACGCTACTCGCGACGGTTTGGTGTGTTGAGCCTCAAGATCACCGGGTAACGGTTTCGCGAGTTTTGCCTTAAAATCCGAGCGGAGGTTCCGAGGAGGAACGGGACGGTACGTGGCGGAATCACAGATTGCGTCGAGGAGAAGCAAATTTGTGCAGAAAGCTTAGCCGTCCGATCGACAGAAATCGGGTTGGACCATAATGCCCTCAGACTAGGTGGTTCGCCCTAGAAATATGTAGAAACACTAGTGAAATTATGTAATAGGCCTATAAATAAGATAGGTTATCTTCACTTAGTCTCACTTCTAGGACATTTTCTTTTTCCTCGTTTAGTTCCCCTCTTGGGGTTTGTTCTTGAGGTTCACAAATTCCATATTTGTGTAAACACTTGTGAGTTTCGAGTTCGGAACGGAGGGCCGAATCCTCCAGTTGTCGTCTGGGTTTCGTCGTATTTTTGTGTGATTTTTGTTCATCTGCGTTCTACTTTTTCCCTATTTTTCGTGCTTGGCTAGAATTTGATTTCCCAGAGTTTGAGTCAATCTCAAGTGATGATTTCTTGAGGATAAGTTCGTGCTAAGCTAAATTTTATCACTACATTGTCTTGGCCGTTTTCGAACTAAATTTTATCACTACATTGTCTACTAATGGGCGGCCAGACTGATGGGGGCGGGTCGAATTGAGGTGGACCGTGCTTGCGGGTGAGTCGTCCGGACGCGCGAGCATAGCGACGGATGCGGGGTGCGCCTGCGGGGCAGAGCCAATTAGTAGACGGAGACAGGCTGCGTGAGGGTCTGAGACCATCGGACTTCTAGACGCTAGCCATGTCATTTTTTTTAAAGCGGACGCTTGAGAGAACGGTCAAAAAAAATGTATTCGTAAAGATAGTCACATAAGTTCACCTCTTGTAATATATAGCTGACGATCGAGAACCATATAGAAGCAACCTAGTCTTAACATAGGCCTTGTTGTCCAAACTTTGCACATCCAAAAAACACTGCGCACTATAGCGGTACTGTAGTATTCGTTTGTATTTGGTAATAATTGTCTAATCGTTTACTAATTAGATTTAAAACGTTCGTCTCGTAAAGTACAATCAAACTGTGTAATTAGTTATTTTTTTACCTATATTTAATACTTCATATATGTGTCTAAAGATTTGATGTGATATGATGAAGAATCTTATACTGTATAAATTTTAGAGGTGCAAAATTGATGGAACTAACAAGGGCATAGCACGAGATTGTTCTTCCAAGGTAATTTCCAAGTTGCAAATGATTTTGTATATGGTCCAGGACGTACGATTCTGAAAAGGACCCCTCCACTTGTATAATAATCAAAGATAAAGATGCGCTAACCAGCAGACTTTTCGGCAGATTTTTCGGTTGACGCGGATTCCTTCGGTCGATGTCTGACATAAAGTGTACTTATATATAATCTTTTCAATTTTTTATCCCAACAAAATTACGTACGCCTATCAAGTCAAGTCATAAAATGTCAGTCTCAAAGGGTTCGAAAAGTCATAATGTCAGTCTCATTCTCATTTAATGCTGACGGTGACAGGATAGGTAGGGCGGGGCCAGGCGGCTGGTGTTGGAAGGTTGACTAGGCAAGGTGGACGGAGGAGCCGGGGCCGAGCGTCTCGCGAGAAAGAAAAAGAACAAACCAAAACGGTATCCTAGACTCCAATGATATGGTGGGTAATTTTTTTTAACTTTACGAAACATGAGCAGATCTGGAATTTGCAGAGCTTGGACGTTTTTGATCCTTCGGTCGTATCACTACATTGTCTTGGCCGGACGTGGTGGGGACGTGGAATTGTTAGAATTGATCTCATCCGTTTTGACCTAACGGTCGAGATGGATCTCTTGATCGCGTTCTAATCGGGGACATCCAGCCATCTAGTGGCTAGTGGGCCTCCGTCGTACAGTGCCTATAAAGAGGAGGTAGGGCAAACGGCTCTTGATGAGGTTCATTGTCGCCGCCACAACCCCACCGTCTAACCCTAGTCCGATCGTGAGGGAGGCACTGCCAACGGCGGGAAGCATCACTGCCTTTACCACCACCGTCGGCCTCCACCGCTACACTAACCGTTGCTGCCCGTGCGCAGAGCTTCACCGACGAACCAGCGATGACAGGGAGCTCCTCCAACCCCTCCGACGGTCAGATGCTCCTACATCTTTCTCTCTCTCTCTGTCTCCTTTCCCCAAAGCAAGCTCTAGGTCTATTTGATTCAATTAGTAAAGATATCGCCCTCTGATCTACACCTAGATGGTCCAAAGTGTCTAACATTGGTATCAGAGTCGTCGATCTAGCGTGTGGATTGTGTTAGGGGTAGCAGTGTAGAAGGAGATGAGTTAGATCCGGTTCGGATCGAAAGAAAAGAAATACAGAGGGTTCATCAAACCCTAAACCCTAATCGGGTGATAGAAAGAAAAGAAAGAAGGGGATTCGAATTCGATTCGGATTACCCTCCTAAAGAACCCTAACCCTAAAGAAATTGGACGGTCCGGGGAAGGTTTCCCCACCGCCGTCACTACCGCCTCACGCGGGATGGAGCACCCACCGCCGGTTTGCTGACGCGCGGGAAGAGAATCAAAAGAACAGAAAAGAAAAGAACGGATTACATCCTTTCGGATCTGAGCATACAGAAAGGTTTCACTAACCCTAACCCTAACCCTAACTGGGTGAAGATGGAAACAGAGAGCTCGGATTCAAGAAAACGATGAGATCTGAGCCCTAACCCACTACAGACTCGGGGAAGAAGAAGAATAGGGTGAATCCCTAACCCGAAACCCTAACCCTAACTCGATCCCCATCCCAATCGGTCAAAACCGAGAAGAGCAAACAAGATCTAAAGAAACAGAAAGGGAAAAGGGGATGAGGAAGAGTCAGTGGGCCTCGCCGACGCGCGGGGAGAAGAAGGCCGAGCGCCGGGAGAAGCCTCTCACCGGACTCGAAGCAAGGGGCCATGCCAAAGCAGGCAGCCGCGACCATGGCAGCTCACTCATTGGGAGCGCAAGACGTCGGGCAGAGGGGGCCGACGACGGCGCCGAGGCCCTGCTCGCTCTCGTCATCGCCTGCTCTTCGTTGGGCTCGCGCGGCTAAGAGAGTAGAAGGGAGAAAGAAATGAGGCTAGGGTTCCGGGGGAGGCCGGCCGCGGCGGGTTTTGATCGGGCGAAACGGCCGGACGGCCGTCGGATTTGATCCGACGGCGAGGAGTCACTGGGCCAAATGAGGCCCCAAAAGGTATGCGCTGCAACATGCTGGTGCTTTGAAGCCCAGCCCACGTTATGGCCTAGGTGGCAGCCTTGTAGAGGAACAAGGCCGGACCGGTTTTGCTGCTAGGCCAAGCAGACAGTGAACAAATGAGTCCATTTTTCTTTTTTCTTTTTCCAGTAAAATATTATTTCCTGGAAAATGATTAATGACTCAAGAAAAATTAGAAAAGAGAATTTTCTTGTGGGCAAAATTCACTAGTCTAAGATTTCCATGTTTCCTCTGCAAAGTTAAAGTTTATTGTTTTCTTATTAAATTCGAATCAACGGAAGAATTTAATTTGAAGAGCAGTTATAGTTATTCAATAAATGATGAAAAGTTGATCCTCCAGTTAAAATTGGAACCAAAGGGCAAATTTTAATTGGAGGAATAGTCGGTTGGTAGTTAAAATTGAATTATGGTATTGTTATTTTCTGACCAACGTTGATGATAACAATATTATAATTCTATAAGTTTTATGTTTAAAGTTTAAATCTTTGATAAATTTTACATCAAAGTGACCAATTTTTTAGAGAATAGATAAACATCGAGGAATGCTCCTAAACTAGAGAAATGTATTTTCAAGTTTTCGCTGCAATGAAGTTGATTGTCTTCTAATTAAATTCGAATCAACTGGAAAATTTAATTTTGAGGAGCAGTTCTATGCTTTCAAGACTATTGAGTTTCTATACGTTAATTCCATTTCTGCACAACGATGATGTGGAATTAATATAGAAGAATGATATTTTATTCTATTTCTGCCCAACGGTGATATAGAATAGAACATAAGATTTCAAAGTTTAATGGGCATTATTGTTGAATATTTTTCAGACAAAAGACCTCCATGCTTTCATTCTTGAAGGCAGTAAGAGAAATAAGCTGGGGACTTGTGACTCAGATGATGAATGCCATTGCTTATGGAACTGTGTTCTCTTTAAAAATGGCTTCAAAAGAAAAGAATTCTAGAATATTGATCCAAAAAAAGAGATAGATCAATGAGAGTCTTCATTGAGAAATGTCTTTTATGTACTCTCTGTGAAGAAGAATTTATTTTCAGTTTCACTTATGAGAGTTGTAAAAGTCATATACATGTTTAATTTGACCAACATTAGATTAAACATGTGTGTTAAAAGAATATTCGGATTTATTTTTGAATTTGATGATTGAACACGAACCAATCCTGGCAATTATGTCCATTCAAGTGAATTATCTCGCATGGTGGGAAAAATTTGTGATAGTACCCGCATGGTGGGAAAAGATTGAGAAAAATACCCATATGGCGGGGTAAAGTTGGCATAGTACTTATGTTAACCAATCCTGCATGGCGGGAGAGTTTTGGTATAGTACTTATCCCGCATGGCGGGAGAAGGATGTGATGACTCATGTGCTCTAAGTGTACCCCGCACATGGAGAGAAGTTTGGGATATCTCTTATGCAGCTGAAAAAGGATCAGACACTTAGAATATTTTTTTTTCGGGAACATACATTCACGTGAATTTCATTAAGAAGAAGTCAGAGTGCCGAAAGAATGGCATCACGACGCGACTATGGGAGAACCCATAGCGCAGGATATAAAACCACAGAGCAAGTGGTTTAGAACGAAAAACAAGGGAAAGCAAGAAGTGCGGCAGGTAAAGGGCCCTCCACCACAACCTAGCTGACTGGTCCTGCAACTAAAGATAACGACGCGAAGACTGCCACCAAGGGAGATGAAGCCACGGTGGCGAAGCATCCACTAGGAAGAACACGGCAAAGCATCCACAAGCACAACGCGGCAAAGTATCCGCGGGTTGATAGCGACTATGGCAGCAAAGCACCTGCCCAGGATCCGCAAGCGGCAAGGTAGCCGCTACGAAGAAGACGACCAACGACGACAAAGCATCCGTCGAGTATCCGCAAGCGGCCAGGTAGCCACTGCGAAGAAGATGACTGCGGCAACACCAACATCTAAGGTGGACAGACCAAAGCGAAGAGTAAGCTAAAACACAGGCAGACACAGCACAGCTAAGGAGCAAAACCGACGAGGTAAGTGGAAGATGGGCTGCAATAGTGCCCCAACGAAGCCTTCAGAAAGAATATAGACATCCGCAGACGCCAGGAGACGCTAGCAGAAGCACACGAGTAGGACTTTCGACCCCAGCCTGCCCCGGACGAACAGACGCTTCTACGATGCCTCTAAAGAGGTAAATGACGCAGGCTACGTCACCACCGCTGGCCCGAAGAAACCGGGTAGGATTTTTACCCAGATTCTGAAAGTCGACGAGGAGGCGCGCCGGCCGTCAGCGGGGAGGCCGCCAAGGCGCCGGCCAGCCGGCCCACCCAGGAAGGAGCGCCCAGCAAGTCCACGGACCGGTCATACCGCCCCCCACCCCGTTCAGCCGGGCGGTCAACTTGCCGAACAGACACTTAGAATTATAATAACTGCTAACACTGCTAGAGATGAATAAGCAAAGCAATGGAAAAGATAAGGCACTACTAATCCTTTTTGTTGGGCTAGCTGTCTGCCGTTGCTGTCATAGGTATATATTTTTGACTAAGAGTTCTTGTTTTTTCTGCCACGTGAACTGTACAGGCAAAGCATCATCACCTTGGAATCCGTCAGCACGAAGAGCTGAAGACATTTTGGGCGTGTTGGGAAAACGATGACCTTGATGTCCATGGAGTGACGTGGAGCTCGATGACTCAAGTAAAACCATACCGTTTCAGTAAAATAATAGTATTTTTCTCTCACAATAAATTAGCATCAGCATCAACATCAACCTCATCTGACCAGTACTCACGGCTAAAGTTCTCATACTAGTTCTACACGACTACACCAGCGACTTCAATTTGAAGTCAGTCAACCCCTTCTCTTCTAGAGCACGGTAATAGACGTCGGCTTGCGCCTTTATAAATGTTACTCCAGAAGAACAGCTAGACTTGATCACTAGAACCAGACTCAAGTAGCTAGTACATAGCTAATTAAGGAGCTCTCTGTCTTTTGTCTTCTCAAATTAGCTACTCATATATACACATGTGGATACCATCAATCAATGAATATATATACGAAGGCATATAGAAAGGGCAACCAAACACGACGAGATTCATGGCGTCAAAGTTATGTGAAGGTAAGATCGAGTTTCTTTTTTACTCTCTCTCTCTTTCTCTCTCTCCAGCCAATTAAGGACAATTATTGATGGTTTAGCATTTTCCCATCCACAGTCTACAGATAGCATGTAAATCGTCATTGCTCAGTCCTTCAATCAATTGTACAAGGTCCCGTACTCTCTCGTATTATACTGTAGAGGCTGCTGGCGCCAAAGCAAACAAATCGTAAACCAAATTAATTAATCGACCCAACTTATTAGTTAGCAAACACCACTAAAAGCCGAATTAATCACTCATGGTACTAATAAATTAAACAGAAAATACACATATTTTTTTACTCTTGATTTCTGTTTTGGTTCTAATATATGCACAAATAGCCATGATTAATACTTTTGTTAACAGGCTAATTAATCAAACAACTTGAACATATTAGCACAGGCGGATCTGGGCCTAAGGCCCCTAGGGCCCAGGCCTAGTCGTTGGCCCAGTAAAACTTATAGTCCTATATAGTTTGTCGGCCCACAAGTGAGGCCCATTAGGAAAAACACAAGGGCATGCTTCCCTTCTGAATTATGCTTCTCGAGCGTCAGCGACCACGACTCCGTGAGCGAGACCGTCAGCGCCGCCCGCCAGCCCTCCACCGCGCCGGCCAACGTCCGACCGGCGACCACCCCTCCCCTGTGGCCCCTGCCAACCTCCCAGGCGCGGGGCGCCCAGCAGCCCATGGACGGACAGCCCACCGGCCACCGCGTCGTCACGCCGGGCGCCGGCTGGCGGCTGCGGATGCCGGACGGCCAGGGGCCCAGGGCGCGGCCCCGTCCTCCACTCCTCCCTCCTTGGCTCTTCCGAGGGCAGAGGCCCGAGCAGCCCAGCCCGAGGCTCAGGCTCTGGCGCTCAGCTGACCGCTGGTAGCCTCTAGCCTGGTACTGCTCCCTTCCCCTGAATCAATTCCTACTTAATTAGATTGAAAACTGAAATTAGAAACAATGAAACATCATATCGACGAGATGTTAGGTATTTATTTTTATCTCATCATGTGTGTCGTGCAATGTTGTTAGCAATTTTAGTTCAATCATCAGATCAAATAGAAGTTTTATTTGTGTCTTAGTTATTTATGCGTGTGGCTCGATGGCTGTAGTAAATCCCCAGTCGTCAGTAGTAATTTCACCGCTAGGTAGTGGCCCTAGTCATCAGTAAATCCCGGGTCCACCACTGAGACCCATAGTGTAAGGCGCCTGGCTTGGGGTTCAATTGAAAGAGTATATGCTTAGGAGCCTGGCTTGGGGTTCAGGAGGTAGTGCTGCGAACTCAAGTTCGGGTGCTATGTCTTTCTTCGGGGTCTCCTCATTCACTTCGGGTGTGTTTGGTCTGTGGAGTCACCCCATGCTTCATGAGGTGTTCCATCATGAGTTCATCACTTCATCCCATGAATTTTTGTTGGAATCAACCCATTCCTCATGCATATACTAATTATTAGCTTGTGAGGAATGAGGTGATGATAGATCAACTCATTCCATTCCACAAAACCAAATAAAAAAAGTGAGACGTGAGAAGAAGATGGACCACCTCATTCCTCAAACCAAACACACCCTTCCTATCCTATATAGAGAGCAGATTTATTAGTTGTATGTACTAAATTTATCTAAGACTTTTTTATTAGTAGTTATATAACATTATATTCTTGACTGTTTAGTTGAAGCACGAGTTGACGGGGACTTGATGATTACTTATACAGGTAAAAGGTTGTTACTACTGCTTATGGGGGCTATCCTAATCCTGCCGCATAGTACTACAGTTCATGGGGCCAGTGCTGGGAACTTCAGCCTAGCTCTGCCCAATTGCCCAGAGAAGTGTGGCAACATGAGCATCCCTTACCCGTTCGGCATTGGGAAAGACAGCCTAGGCAAAGACTGCTTCCTGAAGAAAGATTTTGAAGTCATATGCAATACCAGCCAGCAAGCTCCAACTATCTATATCAATACGGGGGGAGGATCAGTACCGTACTCCAAGGTGTTGAATTTCAGTCTTCTTGATGGTGAGGCACGCATTCAGAATACAATACACTGGAGCTGCAAATACCAGAACAGCAGCAATATCAAGAAGAATGAATACCCAGCATTATCACTAAATCTCGGGAATTCTTTGAAGGTTTCCTACACTAAGAACAAATTTACAGCAATCGGGTGTGCAACCATTGCAAACATAGTGGGTTCTACGGATGAAATCATTGATTTAAACAACTTGCACTACACCAGCGCTTGTTCATCGTTCTGCGACAGTGATTTGAGAATCAGTAGGGGCCCCAACTGTGATGGCTTGGGTTGTTGTCAGACTTCACTTCCACCACGTCTGTCGGCCTTCTATTTCGGATTTTTTTACTACGATGATTTACTAAATAATCCCTCCGCCCAAGGTTTCAGCCCTTGCAGCTACGCATTCGTCGTCGAGGTCAGCGAATTCAAATTCGACCGTTCCTATGCTGAATATTCAAATTTCCAGAAACAAGACGGTGTCCCTTTGGTCCTTGATTGGAGTGTTGGTTCTGAAACTTGCGAGGAAGCCAAGAAGAACTCATCATCTTTTGCCTGTCGTGCCTTGAACAGTGTATGCATCAACGCGACAAATGGTTCAGGGTACCGCTGCATCTGCTCTCAAGGTTACCAAGGCAATCCCTACCTAGACGAAGGGTGCCAAGGTCAGCATGCATATACTTCATAACCGCTTCTTTGTTTTCTCTCTCTTTGTACTGATTGGTCTTGTCTTTGCCGTCGGTTCGTGTACTGATTCTACTCGCCTATTTATTCGAACAGACATCAATGAGTGTGATGACCCATCTATATATCCTTGCATTAATGGTAACTGCATCAACACCATTGGGAGCTACAATTGTTCATGCCCAGGAGGAACTGAGAGCAAGGATCCCAAGAATATAGCCTGCACTCCAGTTTCTGACACGAACAAGCAGCCTCAAGTGAAGGTGGTCATAGGTATATATATTCTAAAGGGAAGGCATGAAAGTGATTAAAATACATTGTAATAAACTGATAAAAACGAACACACATTGCTGCACCATTAATGTTTCACGCCGAAACTGTCCACCTCTGACATGCATGTGCTATGTGCTAAACACCTAAAAACACTTGGGTTTTGTTCTAAGAGGAAGTTGCATGCATATTCACAAAATTTTGTGCAAGTCAATACCTTGGTATTGAGTAGACAGCAATATAATAACCTGAAACTGGATGGCAAACTTTCTTTTAATGTCTTTTTAGAAGGTATATGTACAAATTAACATGGCTGAAGCTGGTCCCTTTCCTTTTTGTAAAATGTGCCCAGTTGAACTGATCATAAGCTGATGACAATGTATTTTCAGGTGTTTCTGTCAGCTTCGTATTCCTCATCGTTTGTATCTCTTCTCTGCTGATCATGTGTCAAAAAAGGAAATTAGCGAAAGAAAAGGAGACGTTCTTCAGACAAAATGGTGGTCCTATACTATACCAAAACATCCTCAATAAAAGAATTGACACAGTGAGAATATTCACAATAGAAGATTTGAAAAAGGCGACAAGCAATTTTGACAGAAGCAGAGAACTAGGCAAAGGAGGCCACGGCACTGTGTACAAGGGCATTCTAGAGGACAACAAGGAAGTTGCCGTGAAGCGCTCAAAGAACACGAATCTAATGCAAACCGAAGAATTTGTGCAGGAGATTATTATACTTTCACAGGTCAACCATAAAAACGTGATCAGGCTTCTAGGTTGCTGCTTGGAAGTTGAAGTGCCCATCTTGGTGTATGAATTCATCCCAAATGGAACTCTCTTTCAATTGATCCATGAGAACCACGACAGGCAACCTGTTTCTTTAGAAGACCGTCTTAGGATCGCTCAAGAATCTGCTGAAGCATTGGAGTATCTACATCTTTCCATCAACCGTCCTATTGTTCATGGAGATGTGAAGTCTCTCAACATTCTTTTGGACAACAACTGCATGGCAAAAGTGACGGACTTTGGGGCATCAAGGATGCTTCCTAAGGATGCAGTTCAGTTCATGACAATGGTGCAAGGAACTATAGGTTACCTAGATCCTGAGTACTTGCAAGAGCGAAAACTAACAGAGAAAAGCGATGTTTATAGCTTCGGAGTCGTGCTTCTAGAGTTGATCACAAGGAAGACGGCGATATATTTCGAAGGCGACGAGATGGGAAAAAACCTCGCAACATCGTTCCTGAAAGCGCTAAAGGATGACAGAGTGCAAAGTATGTTGGACACTAGCATAATGTATGCTGGAACAGAGGAATTGTTCCAGGAGGTTGCTGAGCTTGCTAGCCAGTGCTTGAGTATGAAAGGGAGCGAGAGGCCTTCCATGACCCAAGTGGCTGACAAGCTGAAGGCTATACGAAGTACCTGGAGTGGTATACTGTTGCTGAAGCATGAAGAAACTCAGCGTCTTGCTGAGCAACTGGGCACGGATTCGGTTGTTGGTGAACTATCCCCTAGCATGTACTGGACGGCAAGACATCTGGGGTTGGATATTGAGACACCACGTGTAGATCATGCTGGTAGTACCAACATGCTATAACATGGATGCTACGTACATGTAGTCGTTTTGATCACACCAGGCTTTAGCATGTACGGAGTAGACATTACATAATCTTTTTCTTGTAGATGATCGGTAGTGTAAAGGATAGGCAGTTACCCATGTCTGCATTGGTCTTGAGATGTTTCTTATTTTTCCTTATTCTCTATATTGGTGTTGAGATAGTTCAGTATTTTCCATTATTATAATTGAGGACTTATTAGCCAAAGGGATGGGACATAATTATTATGGGGAATCCGCGTGGCCCAACGATCTTTTATACACATTTTTCCAGTAGTAATTCTAGGTACTATTGCGTGTAATGTAGGTTTAGTGGTTAGCCGTCAATGATCGATGAACCGGCGGATCCGTTTGCTACTCCTTTGGAAATATGACGATTGGGAAGAGTTTGTTTGTTTTTTCTTCTCCCGCCTGTTCCAAAAAATGGGGTCTCGCTCCGAATTTTTGTATAGAATCAAACGTGCCAGAGCGCAGCCAACAGCCACTTGTGCATGAAGTAGTCACTGATTCAGGACCTATTTGTTTGTGCATCCAGGCAACGTTGCCTGAGCATGCAACAATCCAGGCTGTTGATTTTTGAGTGCTGTGGAGATTGCTATCTAGCTAGCATCCTGCCTATTAGGACGCGCGACCATACGGTGTGCCTGTTGGGGATAGTTCAGCTCCAAACAAACAACGACTAACCACTGGGGTCTTGTTTGGATGCACATGTATTTACTTCAATTCATATGTGTTGGAGTGGAATGAAATGGAACTTAGTTTAATTCTACTTCAATCCACTTCAACACATGTGGATTGGAATGAATACACGCGCATCAAACAAAGCCTAAATACATGAGTGTAGATTTTTTTTTTTTTTGAGCAACAGGCATGAATACATGCGCGTGTATGAAGTGGTCTTTATAGGTGTGTCATTTGCCAGTAATCTATAATTGTTCCATCGCCTTGACAATGTTGGACCTAAATATGAGCCTACCTCGTCGACAATTAATCACCCATGAGTTAATCACGAAGGGGTCTGTAACCTGATTATCAACCTGTTTGTTTGCTCGTAAACGATCGTAAATTTCCAGCCGGGAACAATGTTTTTCTCTCACACCAAACCAGCCAGCAGTAAATAATCCACGATCGTTTACGGCCTCCCGAACAGGCTGTACAAGAGCCTCGGTTACCACTGAAAAAACAAATTGAAAGTACTTTTTTCTGACGTCGTCACTGACCTCACCAGAAAGCTCCTCACATGGAATTTTATTTTATTTTTATCTCCACGCATGGAATTTTCAATTGGTGGAATGTGACGTCACCTCAATACATGTTTGAATTGGTGAAAACTGAAAAGCGACGCGATGTTGACGGATTTTTCGATTGGTGGAATGCGACCCAAAAGCGGCTCTGCTGGGCGACCGGTACGTCGTGCGCTCGCCTTCATGGGTGGCCAGCCTCCTACCGTGTGTAATGTGGTTGGTTGTGTGTAATGTGGTTGGTTGGGAGAACGAAGTGGGATGGAGGGATGGACCTGTTTTTTTTGTTGTTTGGTTGGGAAGCATTAAGGACGGGGATGACTCCAGGGAGGAATATTCGTAGATATTCGGGGACACCCCATCCCTCAAAATCGGTGGGACTGGGTGGGATGAGCGGGGATGCGCTAGTGGCGTTCTTTCCTCGTTTCGCGCGACGCCCGCTCCTTCCTCAGCGACGACAGCTTCCTTAGCGGTGGCGCTCGTCGTCCCCGGCGCGAGCCCTCCTCCCAATGGCGTGACCAGCCCCAGCCCCCGGAAGCCAAGCGCGGCGACCGAGCTGGCCGGCAGCCAGGCACGGTGGCCGAGCGGGCGAGCGGCCCCAGCCCTCTCTCCTTCCCGGCCTTCCCTCTCGCCCGCTGCCGGATCTAGCACTAGGCAGATAGAGCCGTGAGCGCCACCTCCGACCTTCTGCAAGGGCGGCCCACTCGCGTGAGCGCCTGTGCACGGGAGAAGATGGAGGGCGTCGGGAGGAGATAAGGGAGACGGGAAAAATGAGGATGACGATTGGGGCTTTCTAAAACAGAGTGGGACCCACAGTTACCTACTTTTTTAATGGTGTCAATCCACCATCCATCTCATTTCTATTTATCCCTTCAACCAAACATGAAATAGGTTGCTCCCGTCTCTTATCAACCAAACATAAATTGGAGCCGTCTCATCCAAAAACTAGAGACAGGACCGTCCCACTCCACCTTGACTCACAACAAAACGCTACACTAGTCCTAAGGTTAAAGCAGGAAGCAATCATGTCCCAGGACTGAGGGGACGTACGTACGTGTAAGCGACCCAAGGCTGAGGGACTTCGTCGTAGCTCCGTTGCTATATCCAGTGGCGGAGCTCGCATCCAAATATAGGGGGCGGGGCAGTTTGCAATGTCGAATCTCCTAGGAATTTAACTCCCCTAAACACAGAAAATGTATATTGTTGTTGTTCTGTGTCTTGTTCCAATCCAGTTAAGAGAAGAGAGCAAGAACCAGAGATCGTTTGTAAAATGAAATACATACGAACTAGGAAATTTGGTATGAGAAAGAAGCACACCATCTTAATTTATCATAAAAAATAATATCAATCAGAAGTAATTAACCTTGAAATTGCTAGATATACTACCACCTAATTCTATTTAGCATTCAAAATTCAGAAATATGGAAGCAAATAAACAGCATTGAATCTTCCTACTACACACCGTAAGTGACCAGCAGAACAGGTCAGTAGATAGGATTGAGTCATTGGCCCTGTTTGATACTCTAGTTCGGCTAGAGGTTAGAGCTAGTTTCTAGCTCTAGATTAGCCTTGAACTAACTCTAGCCTAAGAGGTGTTTGGATGAAGGGTTAGATTAACAATAAATGTACTTTTCTAATCATTTGGCTCATTTAAACCATCTTTCCAGCCGGATTTGGTGTGGCCTCCTCCCGCACACAAATGATACAAATACATTATTTGTACAAATCAAGCATCCAAATCACAATAAATTTTAATTTATCCATACATATGAGATGTGTCACTCAAACTTACAAGTCCTCAATCAAGCTAAACAAAAAAATTACACTCCATGAAACAAAGCATGAGCTAATTCATCACGGAAGGCATTCATGTTGATATCTTCAACAAGAGGTTCATCTTCTGGCCATGCTGATGCCGAAGAACAAGGCATTGGATTATAATTTTCATCCGCATCACATGCATCAAATTCTCTATCCGTAATTCTGCTCTCTCGAATAAAATTATGAAGAGCCATACAAGCAACAATAATTCTAGTTTGCTTCTCCTCTAGAAATCTTGGCATGTTCAACAAAATTCTAAACTTCATCTTCAACACTCCAAAAGTTCACCCTATGACATTCCTAACTTTGGCATGTGCATGGTTGAAGGTTTCTTTCATACCTTGTGGCGGCGGGCCGTTTTGCCATTGCTCCACATGGTACCTTGTGCATCTGTATGGTGAAAGGTAGCCCGGCCGGTTTGGGTACCCCACATCAACCACATAATACTTTTCCACATGGTACCATATGCTCGGCTGGTGGCCCATGGCTAGCCGGTGCCCGCGCCTGGGCCCCTCTCGTGCTCACCCGGCTGGGGCAGTGGCCAGCCGGCCAGCCATGGCGGCCTGGATCTGTGCCCCCCTGCTAGGTGCTGGAGATCGCGCCCCGCCACCTCATGGAGAGAATCGCGCCCCCTTGCCATAGATCGAACCCTTGCAGACACACAGAGAGGTAGCGCACTATCGCCTGCTCACCGAAGATCGAGGACAACCTCGCCAGCGCCGCTATTGTGGACAATAATTATATAAACGTAAAGTAGGCTACATATATTGTTACACACTTCTACCGCTATTTGTTCATGCTACTCCATCCAAATGGTTCGATTGGCTCCACTTAGTGTAGTTCTGGTACAATTCAAGCTGGCATTCATCGCTGGACCGTTCCCCATTTGAAGTACTATATGGTTACACCCCTCAGCACTTCGGTATTCAGTCCAGCGATGCTTGTCCATCTCCAGTGTTGGCTGATTGGTTGTAGGAGAAGCAAGTGATGCAAGCCCTCATCCAACAGCACCTCCTTCGCGCTCAACGTCGCATGAAGATCAAGCCGACAAGAAGATGGGCCAAGTACTGTAGCCTGTCCGGCAACTGTCATCAGACAGCGGGTCTGGTGTCTGGGCCGCATTGGGCTTGATCCTTAGGCCGTAGAGACAGCTTGCGCTGTCTGGGACAAGCCACCAGATGGGCTGGGTTTATAAGAAGGAGAGAGAGCCTTGGGAAGAAGGCAAGGTTTTTTGTGTGTGTGTGTGTGTGTGTGTGGGGAACAAGAGTCTGTGTTGAACACATGAAACCTGAACTAATCTGTCCTCGTCGCCTATCTTGCGTGCTCTGCTTCTCTAATCTCTACCCCTTTCCCCGAATGAAGAGCTAGCCATCTTTAGAAATTGGAATTTTACATTAAAAATTAGAATTAAAAAACTTAGCATCGTATTATGTGCATAACCATTGATGGCATTCCAGTTTCTGCCACGCCTGCATCCCAATCTTCAGTGCTGCAACTGTGCCAGTCAGAGTGCAACTGAACTTGGCTTTCCCGAGGTCTGCTGCGCCTTCGTTTCAATGGTAAATGGTTGCACTTTGCAGTACAGTTTGTTAGACTGAAACCACACACCAGTCACCACACCATGAAGGCAAGAAGCCACTGCCACAGTACCACTCCACTCTTGGGTAGTCCAGTCGCAGCATCCTGGTGGAGTCGGGAGTCCTGAATGGCTGATCCATCATATCGCTACGGAATTGCCGCGCGCGGCGCGACACAGCAACGTGCGCTACCGGCCGGACAGGTAGGAGAGTGCGAACGAATCGCCCATGCTCATCGCCGACGAAGCGGCCGTCCCCGCGGAGCCCGGTGCCGGTGGCAGCGCGGGGAGCCCGAATGGTCCGGTCATCTGCGTGGGGTCGAGCGCGAGCAGGTCCACCAGGACCATGTCGGACGGCGGCGGCGGGTCCACGCTAGCGGCGCCGCCCCTGGCCTCGAGCATCTCCACCACGCGCGCCATGGTGGGGCGCGCCCCGGGCTTCTCCTGCGCGCACCACAGCGCCACGTGCGCGAGCCGCCTCACGCTGGCCTCGTCCACCGCGGAGGAGACGAGGCGCCGGTCGAGCACCTCGACCACGCGCCCCTCCCGCGCCCTCTCGGCGACCAGCTTCGGGAAGTAGGACCACCGACGGGAGGACCCGCCGCTGGGGCCAGGCTCGGCCTGCAGGTTCCGCCGCCCGCCGAGGAGCTCCATCAGCACCATCCCGTAGCTGTACACGTCCGACTTCTCCGTGACGCCGGCGCCCAGGAGCCACTCCGGGGCCAGGTACCCCGTGGTGCCGCGCACCGTGGTCACCACCCGGCTCTGCTCCTTCCCCATCAGCGTGGACAGCCCGAAGTCCGACAGCATCCCGCGGAGGCGGTCGTCGAGGAGGATGTTCTCCGGCTTCACGTCCAGGTGGACAACCTTGGCGCGGCAGTCGTGGTGCAGGTACGCCAGCGCCTTGGCCACGTCCACGGCCACCTGGTACCGCTGCACCCACGTCAGGCACCGCCCGCCGGCGCCGTGCTGCGGGAAGATCCACCTGTCCAGGGACCCGTTCTCCATGTACTCGTACACGAGGAAGCGCGGGCCGTTCCGGACGAGGCAGAAGCCGAGGAGGCGGACAAGGCTCACGTGCTGCACGCTGCCGATGGCCGACACCTCCGACCTGAACTCCTTGTCCACGTGCGCCGACCCGTCGATCCGCTTCACCGCCACGGGCGTGCCGTCGTCGAGGATGCCCTTGAACACCGTCCCCGACGAGCCCCGCCCCACCACGTACTGGAAGCCGTCCGTCGCCGCCGACAGCGCCTCCAGTGAGAACCGGCTGGGCAGCCCGGCGACCTTGCGGAAGTAGCTGTACTCCACGCGCACCGACACCTCCTCGCCGCCGTCCAGCACCGGGCGCCTCGCCATGCGCTCGGCCCGTCCACGGGGAATCAGCGCGTGGCACAGCAGCACCGTGACGGTGCCCGCCAGCGCGGCCGACAGGATGACCGCCGTCGAGAGGTAGAATGGCCTCGACAGGCCGAAGCAGAGGAACAAAGTGAGCTCGAGTGCCACAAGCACGACGGCCGCCGCGCCGGCGAGGATCTTGGCCTTCTTGCCCTCCATGGATCACGCCAGTGCCATCAATGCCAGGCAGCGCCGCGCCACTGCCACTGCCTCTGCCTGTGCCTTGACCTTGCGTTCTTTCACTTCGTCGTCGTGTTCCGAGCTAGCTTCGATGTGATGCTTGGTAAATATAGACATGAGACCAATACTTTGACGAATTTAACGACAGTGATGTCTCAACCAACCCAATGAGAGTGGCCTTTGTCTTGGAGTTGCAAACTACTGACTCGATCAGACAAAGGATAATGGTAGCCTGGTAGGTAGAAGAACGGTTCATGTGAGGAATTGGGTTAAATGTCAGTGCTGATGGTACCTCGTCATGGCGAATTACTCCGAAATTTCGTTTTGCATAGAAGAAACCATCACTTGATTCACTTCCATGGTCAAGTTGAGGAAAGAGCACACTGATTCAACGGCAAGAATGACATCAGTGTATAGCGATTTGTGTGGTGTCGGTGTCTGTATTTTAGCCAAATCCAAAGTTGAATGTTTCATACGTTAAAAAAAAAAGTTGAAAGTTTCATCCATAACGATTCAACATTTAAGCAACATCACTGATTCAGCCACGTTGACATTTGGAAACTAGTACAGATCAAGGAGAAACAATATAGGTCTTTAGAAAAAAGGCGAAACAAATATTATCTTGACCGTTTCGCTGAAGCCACTGCTTACATTCTCGACTGCAGCTGCAATTTCAATAGATCATGGTGTGAGCAATATTCAGACAACAAATCTTCCACCAGCAGATTTGGCAAGGGCGACGGGGGAATATATATAGAATCATCCAGATAAATAAGTTTTTTTTAAATCTCATTTCAACAGAACTTGTGTTGAATAGCAAAAGTGCACGTTGTGTAATGAATCCAATTATTTATATAGCCGGGTTTCTGTATGGATCATGTAACAAAAACTACGTGTTCCAGCTTCCTAGCTGTGTGGCAATTGGCAAACAGGTTAACATGGTCAGATCTACTGAACACTACAAGGCCAAGAGGCTGAAGTTTTGCACAGCTTCAAAACGCTGTGACAAAAATGGTATTGGCACCGCGTTTTATTGCCATGCCCTGCAGAACCTTAATGATGGTGGTGGTGGTCATCGTCGTCATCGTGTCCATCAGGAGATCCTCCTTCCCCAATCACATCAAGCTGTGGAAATAAGATGAAGATTGTACCTCAGTGAAAGTGAGGGTGCATTCATCACAACAGGTACATCATCTCATCATGCTAAAAACTACTCTTGGAATGCAAGCACCTTATGTTGAGAGTAAACAGCATACCGAGAAATATTGAGTACAGACGGGGCATTCATGTGGCTTGCCTTTCTCCAACCAAAACCACACCACATCATGTTCATCTTCTGTAAAAGGTTAACAAGTGCAGCATAGGCCAATTAGACAAGTTAGATACCATTTAGAAAAATGGATATTTTTTTCTTGATAAGATACAGGCAAGGATTCGAAATCTGGAAAAGACTAGGGGGGATATTTAGCAGAGCAGTAGTGTACCTCCTTTGCCACCAGGGCAACCAACAATCCTTTTGTTGTAGTATGACTGAATCACAGCAGGAGTTTCCTATGGATGGAACAACATATATGGATATTAGTCCAGATGAACCACACAAGAGTCAAAATGAATTTATAAATGAACAACGATGCAAAAGACACATGTAAGCAAAATCATGATTCATATAGCACTCTATAAAGTGATTCATCGACAGGCCAAAGCTAAATGGAACCTGGTATCAGTTGGTCAGCTGCAAAGCTCACTGAATTCCAAACTGATGTAATCAAAGGACAAAGTCACTACAATAATAAAACATAAAGCTAATAAAAAGCACTGGATTACTAATTGTATCTTCTGCTGCTCTTTGGGTATTTTGGAAATCTCGTAATGAAATTTGTTTTCAGGGTTCGGTTTGGACAGGGTTGAGGAAAGTGCTGGTAAAGATTGCAAAAATGTGAAGAAGATGGCTGCCTATGATCAAGATGGAGGCGCAGGAGAAGCTGGAATGGATTATTCAACAGGTGGAACACGAAGCAGAATCACCACCACAAATCAGGTGGAGAGTGGATATGTTAGAGTTGGCACAATCAGATGCTCGGCCTTTGGTCGTTTCCAGCACTGCAACGTTGGATCAATGTAATGGGGTTACGTGTTAGACTTTGTCTGAGTCTTTGTGTTCTGGTGTTGGCCTTGAGGCTTTTCTGTGTGAGCATGCGATTTTTAAACGCTGAACTTAAATGTTGTTGCTTTATTCCTTAATAAAGCAGGGAGACCTTTTATTCAAAAATAATAATAATAAAACACAAAGATTCAGTCATACAAAGACCAGCTACACTGTGTGGTTGGTTATCCTGATTTTGGGCAATGTGCTGACCAACCACAGAGTCTGAGAATGAAAAAGAAAGCCAACTAAAAAGGGTGTACCCAGTGCAGAGAGCTCCCGCTCTGTGCCGGGTCTGGGGAAGAGTGTCAGTGGCAAGCCTTACCCTCGCCTGTGCAATGCGAGGAGACCGCGACTCGAACCTGGGACCTTCACAGGCGGTAAGACTCTACCGCTTGCACCAGGCCCGCCCTTAAAAAAGAAAGCCAACTAAGAATGACAAATTCCACTTGAAGCAGAGCAACTTATATATTGTGTATTCCACCATAACGAACAGGACAACAATATGGGTGGTTCACTAGAGCTCTTCATAACAGCAAGGCTCACATGGACATGGAAGTTCTTCATAACCGCAAGGCTCACATGGACATGGAACACACTGAAGAATCATATATAACTTTCAGCCAGAGAGCTTTTCCAAATTATTTAAGCAACAACGACAACGGAAACATAAACAGGAGTAAGCAGACAAAAAATCAGAAGATAATTAAATCAAATATCAAAATCAAGATGCCTGCAAGTACTTTTGCAAAAAAAGATTGCCTGCAGTATCGGAAATTCAATAGGTGTGCCATAATCAGTGTTTCGAAATCAGTATGTCGCAGAGAACCTAAAAAAATGATCTAATATGCTAATATAATTGATGTACTAAAAGTACTGCAGATTCAAAAGGAATAAGACCTCATTTTAAGAAAAACACATTTGATAAAAGTGTGTAAGCACGAAAAAGGGTCCCAAGCTAGAAACTTTTCTGTGACCAGAAAGTTGAAGCAAGAGGAACTTTGACTTGGGACGCAGCCTACAAACTCAGTTGCCAAACCCAATCCACAACTATGACTCTATGAGCACGAATTTAATCACCAAGCAGTACTTAATAGACCAAAATGATTCGTTGGCCTCGAAACTACTGCCATGACTGAAGAAACACCATCTAAAGATGTGAGTTGTGACATATTTTCCCCAAAGAAACAAAACAACTCCACTGACTTTTCAGCTCTTATTATCCCAACATCTGAAAATATAATCTGTGTCTTCTCCAATTCTACGGTCTATGTTCAAACAGCATTTCAGTTCACGCAGACAAACAAATAAATCTAAACAAAAATGTCATCCACGAGTGCAAGTCAGATGACCACACACTGACATTTCAGGACACTCTCAGTCTCTCACGAGTTACAATCCCATCCTGAACAATCAACTCAGTAGTCCAAAACTCCCAATTGCTCACGCGCCAAATGAAATGTAGAAGGTACCAAACCGAAATCACCCACCTTGGTGCCAAAGGGACCGACAGGCGCGTCCATGTCAAACCTCTTTTTCCCCTGAACAGAAAAACGAACCAAATCAAAGAAATTTAATATTTTGGACGAACAAATAACTCGTACAAAGAAATGAAGCGGCGGCAAAGCAGCCATGCGCGGGACCTGGAGCTCGGCCTCGATCTCCTCTCGCTCGAGCCCCGTGGCGATCGGCATCACGTCCTCCACCCTCGTCCTCGTCCCCGCCACATCTGACGGGAAACACAAGCCTTTGCATCAAATCGGGGCTACCGCCTAAGCTTGTGACTTGTGAGGAACAAAGGAAGAGTCGTTACCGAGAGTGGAGAAGAAGAGGGGCGCCGGCGCCGGCGCCAGCGTGCGGCGGAGGCCTGCTGCGGCAGCAGCGGAGGCTGCCGGGGAGCGGGGTCCCAGGGCGGAGCGATGGTGGCGGAGGAGGAGGGAGATGGCGCGCTTCCACATGGCGGGCCGGTGGAGGCAGCGGCGGCACGAGCGGGCGGTAGAGATGGTGGTTACTGGTTAGACAGAATCCGGCCAACTTGGTGCTTTCGTTATACGGGTGTCCGTGCGTTGTTTCAGAATAACTAATAATTTATACTAAAAATATACAGATTATATAATAAGATAATAATACTGTTAAATTAAATACCAATGTTAAATTGATATTTAATCCAAAAGATAAAGTTTATGAATTTAACATAGTCATGAAGTGCGCGACGTCGCAGGCTCACAGACTCTAGAGCTCTCGGAGATTGGGTCGAATTCAACCTAGAGCCTCAGAATCCTACGTCTTTTTCTAGACGGGCTTCACTTCGAATGCGCCGGCAATATCAACGATCTCCAGTCGATGGACCAAGTCATATGGATCTCTATACAATAGCTCAGACATGTAGATTTTATTCTCCTTATACTTGGATAATATCAATGGCTAATTATGTAACACCTTGCGATGCTGATGGAAAGATGTTCCTAAAGTTCCATCAAGCTAAAAAGTTCCATTGACGCTACCTAATATCAACAGCATCTAGACGTAGGTTGTTCCTAAAATTAATACAACATCTGGTCTTCGTTTTATTTATTGAACTACATTCAAAACTCCATCAGTATATTGCGTCATTCCTTCAGTTGTTCCTAAAATTAAGCATTCAAAATTTATATATAAAAACCTAATCTAAGCATATCAACAGAAATAGGCACTATGAGACAAAAAAAACCTAACAATAACTAAATTATTTTTTGCATCTTTTCATCTCAGGTTTGGTTGTGAATGGCTAATTGGAAAAGAAAAACACAAGAATTTTCAAGTGCACTGAATTGCTGGTTGCAGATATGATGAATCTTCACAGCACCCAAACTGGAGAATGCATAGATAGTCATGATAGCATACACTAAACCTGACAGTGTAGCTATCTAAAATTGATATGAATCATCGCAGCAACCAAACTAAAGAATCGATGAATACCCATGATGGCATACACCAAGTAATAAAAGCATGAGTAAAATCACGTTTTTTCATTCAGATTTCTGATGGAGAAGGGTTAGAGGGTGGGTTTACATAGTAATAAACTTTAAGTACGACGTTCCACAAGTAGTGAGATTTACATATTTTCTGTTTTTTAATATTAGGTGACCATAAATTTTTCAGCAAAACTGACAATTAGAAAGGCTGGTTTGACAAAACAACAAAGCATGCCCACAGGCTTAGCGTTCTTGTAACCCGTAGCTAGGCATGAAAAATTAATCGTGAGGAAATTATAAATATCTTCATGACAGACAACTTGAACAAATGCTAACCTTAGCAGATTTAACCAAGGAGCCAGTAACGAAATAAATTTTGATAATGATGAAATGGTATTCTGATGTCTAGATTATTTATCAGACTCTTTCAGCAATTGTCCAATCTACATACAACTCAAAGAGCATCCCATGAGTGATGTACAAAAACAGTCCATATTATAGAGAAACAATTAATATTTTTACAGTGTAAAAATGACAGAGAAAGAGCAGCATGGATATATTATATAAAAGCATAGTAGGTTTGATTTTGAATCCCACACCAACTTTCAGTTCCCCCCTTGAGTATATATTCCATGCTAAAATTCAAAGGGTAATTGTGCAATCAGATGGAACATGCAGTATGAGACTGATTAATCTCTGGAGACTCTTTATGATACTACTTGCTAAAAATCACATGTGCTAAAAAATCTCGACGCAGGTCCTTCTCCTTCTCGACGCAGGTCCATCTACGAGGACACAGCCACCGAGGTTTGCTAGCATGAAGACACATTTTGTCGAACATGTTGCCCGCGTTACATTCCCCACTTAGGTGTCCGCTTTTTCGCACAGAAGGGAGCAGCAGGGAAGGGGTGGGCATACCCTGGTTGACCACCCGCGCCGCCGGGATGCCGCGCACGGACGCGTGCGTCGCCTCCAGCACTGGGACGCCATGCCACCTCACGGTGGTCGGCTTTGGTGGTGCTGACGAGCTGGAAGGCGAGCCCGGTGTCCTAGCCGAGGATATGGTGGATGCTATCGAAGAGCGACGCCTGGAAGTCGTCCAAGCTGAGCGCGTCCTTCCTCACCAGCACCATGGTGCCCCCGATCTAGCCCTCCAGCACCGTGGACGCCGCGCCGCCTCACGGTGGTCGAAGGCGTGCAGCACGACCAAGCGGGGAGTCACGGAGGGGAGGGAGCGATGCCGCGATCGCAAGGGGATCGACGAGCAGGGAGGAGACCAAAGCAGATGGAACACGTGAGCGTGAAACCAAATGAAAGAAGAAAAAAGCTGTCCCTTTTGCAAATGCAAAGAGGGGAAGTAATTAAATGTAGACAGATTTGACAAGGTTCTCAGAAATATAAAGATGTTTCTTTTGTCTTAATTCTCTTTCCTTCTATATTAATTCTCTTTCCTTTTACTCGTTGCCATATATGCTGGTGCATGCAAACATGCAATGTGTATATAGATAGCACAATAATTTTCTACTTTATATTTTACCGTGATTCCTCTATCACATGACAGGCAATATTCAATCAAGAAGATATCGTGGGATCGCAGGCGTGGGCAGACGGATGAACCAAAATAAATATCGCACCAAAAAATGTTCACACTTTGTTCTTTTTAGTTGTAGGAGAATCAGTACTTTTCAGATTATTTTTTTAGTCAGAACAATATTTTTCTCACACAACAAATCAGCCGGAACAATATTTCGACTTGTTTTTTCAGCGAAGCGAACGGAGCCGTAGACCGCCGGTGTAGAGGGACCCACTTTTGTGGTGTAAAATTTCGCAAATTCAGCCGTGTCCAGAAAAAAGCCCTAAAATTTTATTGCAATATTTTTGGACTGCTCCGAAACAGCAATTTTATTGGCGACCAGTTTGCATTTGCAAGTCGCTAAATGATAATGATACTTTGAAAAAAAAATTACGACCGATGACTGGACTTTTGAAATAATTAGAATATTCTACGGAGTGGACAAACGGCGATGCCGAGGTCTTGTGTTCAACTCAAAATACCACCATAAGATGGCATATGGTTCTGGCCCAAATACCATGGGCTTCAGACCTTTTTTATTTCATATCAGAGCAACTCCGAGGGTCCTTATAGCTTCCCAATTGATCAAAATAGAGATTTTTATAAGAAAATATCCTCCAATAATTTCTTTAATTAGATTTTCAAATACATTTATCATCTATTTTGAATTCTCGCTAGATGAAGAGCAAAACTGGTTCTCTAAAGTGTGCACAAGATATAGTAAGCCTGTTAGAAGGTGGAAAGATATGTTGTGTGATTTTATTCAAACGGCTCTCCGAAATCTGAATGATAATTTAGAGAGTGAGTTAAAAAAACACTTGAAGATACTCTTATTGGATTAGTCTAGAGAAAATATGCACACAAAAATTACCGCTTATATCGACCAACTTCAAATGAGCAGTAATAACTATACATATTGTTGGCACTTACAAATCAACTACTGTATCATAATTTAATAAAACATTTTTTTTGAAAATGCTTGATAAATTAGGTTAACACAACAAAAGAACTCAGTAGCTCATTTACATTAAAGATAAGTATTCTGGTTATATTTGGAACCAATAATATAAAGCATAAAGGTTTACTAGAAGTTTGAGACATATTCATACCAACATTTTTTTATGAGAAAGGACTCTAAACTTTGCCCATATATATAGGTGATAATCCTTAATCTTTCTTTTTCCTTTTTCAGGATGGGACATGACAAGTACCCGAAACATTATGATGTCACCAATGTAATGGGTTACTGACATTGGGGCACTCTAGATGTGTAAACGAAAACTTCAAAAAGTAGACCGAATGATTGTCCTGCGTCAGCTTCCAAATTTAGCAACAATCAACTGGAGCACGAAACTCAAACAAGATCCAATGGCTGGCATTCATCGAAATCGCCCTCTAAAACGCACAACTCCATAAACCCTAGCGGACAAAGCAACTCTCTCTCTCTCTCTCTCTCTCTCTCTCTCTCTCCAAAACCCCCTCTCGCTCCCGCCTCCACCCAATGGCGTCCCTCCCTAACAGCGCCGGCGCCGCCGCCTCTGGTTCCTCCGGCGCGCGCCCAGTGGACAAGGAGGTGGACTTCGCCAACTACTTCTGCACCTACGCCTACCTCTACCACCAGAAGGAGATGCTCTGCGACCGCGTCCGCATGGACGCCTACCACTCTGCCGTCTTCCGCAACGCGCCGCACTTCCAGGGCAAGGTGGGGAACCCCATGAACTGAAACCCCTAAAAAATTCCATTTTCTCCAGCAATTTTGCGGCCCGGTTTGGTTGATTCGGTGGATGTGGATTCTGTCAGGTGGTCCTTGACGTGGGCACCGGGAGCGGCATCCTTGCCATCTGGAGCGCGCAGGCCGGGGCCAGGAAGGTGTACGCCGTCGAGGCGACTAACATGGCGGAGCACGCGCGCGAGCTTGCGCGCGCCAACGGCGTCTCGGACATCGTCGAGGTGATACAGGGCACCGTGGAAGACGTTGAGCTTCCAGAGAAAGGTGAGACTGATTTCCTTGATGCTCGTCTTGTGATTACTGAATCGATGGTAAAAGCTAATAGGAATGAATTTCTGTTGCAATTGGAATGCTACTCCAACCATGTGAGTGTATTGGATTTTATATATCATATCAAGAGAAAAGTTGAAATTTTTAATCTGAACATGGAAGCTATGATGTGCAGAGTACTGACTACTCTGTTTCTATCTGTTGTTTGTGATGACAGTTGATGTCATTATCTCAGAGTGGATGGGCTACTTTCTTTTGAGAGAGTCCATGTTTGATTCCGTCATTTGTGCACGTGACCGCTGGTTGAAGCCAGATGGTGTAATGTAAGTCCATCCCGCAAGTTATGCTAAGAAGCACTTTCTTTGTTGCAAGCAGAACACAGATTTACTTAGCCTAAGATCATTCTTTTGCAGGTATCCTAGCCATGCTAGGATGTGGCTAGCACCCATAAGAACTGGTTTGGGTGACAAAAAGAGGGAAGATTTTGATATTGCTATGGATGACTGGAGTCTGTTTGTTCAGGACACTCAAACTTATTATGGGGTCAACATGAATGCTTTGACAAAGGCATATCGTTCAGAACATGAAAAATACTATTTGAAGGTATGCCATCCTTTTTTATCTTCTAGTTCATGACTGTAGTCTTGGAATGTAAAATTCAGGTTATTTCAGCTTATGAATGACTTGTATTTTGTTATTATGGTAACGTATATGTCTTTTTAAGTATAATAATGTCCTTTGTTGCACTTCCCTAAGTAATAACGATATGTCTTTTTAAGTATAATAATGTCCTTTGGTGCACTTTCCTAAGAAATTACAGTACTCAATTTAGAGAAACAATGATCCTTTGAACCTGTAGCAGTATTTTGGATGTACTGTTGCTTACAAAGTTGTACAGCCTACATTTATCTCCACTGAAATTGGAACTCTATTAATTTAGCCTACACATTGAAGCAAACCCAAGATTGTTTATCCTAAAGTCTGGGTGTACTTTCAGTGGCTAGTTCTGCACTTGCTCGAGGGAATCAATAGATTCTTGCTGGGAAATCAGCTTGCAAGAGTTTTGAATGACAAAGCCTATGTATTTCATGTTCCTTTTCCACACACTTAAATGTACACATGTTTTTATTCTGCTGCAGTCTTCAATATGGAACAATCTTCATCCAAACCAAGTTATTGGTCAACCTGCAGCTATCAAGGAAATTGATTGCTTGACAGCCACTGTTGATGAGATCCGAGAAGTCAGAGCACAAGTTATATTGCCAATCAGAATGGATGCTAGATTATCAGCACTGGCTGGATGGTTTGATGTTCATTTTCGAGTATGTCAGACTTAACTGCAACCCACTAAATGCTATGACTGAACTACATTTAGACTTTACTTAAGAAAGTGCTTGCTATGTTTATAATATTTTTAGGGTAGTGCTCAAAACCCTGGTGTGGAGGAAGTTGAATTAAGTACAGCGCCAGTTGAGCATGGTGGAACTCATTGGGGTCAGCAGGTTGGTTTCCTGGGCTATACTTACATTGCTTTCTTGTCATTCCTAGAATCTGCTTCCAGTTATAGCCTGTAGTTACTAATTTTTCAATCCTTCTCCCTCTACCTGTAAATATTGACTGCTAACAAAAGAAAAATTGTGAATAGAAGGAAAAGAACTATCTCTTTTCCCTTTTGAATTAATATAGGCAGAGTGCAAACCTCATCTTGGAGCAAAAGAAGAAAAGAAGAGAAAAAAGAACTTTTTTTAATGTTGATTTCACCAAAATTGCTCTACAAATGAATCCTTTTATTTGAGGTGTTACGAAAAAAGATACTCTTTCAGTTGATTTTGCCATTATCGAAATGCATACTGCTCATAAAGCAGTTAACTGGTCTAGAAAAATTGATCAGAGTTTTGTTCCTTTTCAAGGTATTCTTGCTGACTCCACCTCTAAGTGTGACTAAAGGAGACAATGTTAATGTTTCCTTCTCGATGGTTCGCTCAAAGGAAAATCATCGACTTATGGATATGGAGTTCACCTATGAATTGCATGAGTTATCTGGCAAGAAGCACCCAGCAGTGACAACCAAGATGTACTTAGAGTAGAACAAGGTACGGACTATACCTCTGGTTCACCAGCATAGTGACATGTGACACAGATGCTTACACATAAAGCATGCTGCGTTGCTTTAATTGATAACATGTCTCAATCTTACCCTTGTTCATTTTTGCATTTATGCTTTCACAGAGTTGAGTAGAGGCCGGATTCATCATCGTTAGATGAAAAGACGGAACCGGCTACCATGTGCCCTCACGGCGCTGTTACTGAACCTTTGCTCAGAAGCTGAGCATATGTAAGTGCCTTAGGGCCCCTGTGTGCTTGTTATACCCATGATGTGTACATTGAGACCATGAGGCATGATAACGTGCCAAAGATTCTGTTGTATTGGTAATATCTTATTGTTTGATTGCTGAAGTAACAGAGGAGCTATTGCTTCACAACATTAATGTGCTAGCAGATATTGACCCACATTACAGCTTTTAGCAACATTTGGTGCAGAATTTTGTTGAATTCAATTCAGTTTGTCCAAGGCTGATGCATGATGCAGTTGTTAATCGGTATGTAGGCACCAATCCGTGTTGCCGCGGCGTGAGATCCTTTTCGGTGCACTTGTGCACCCAATTTTGTGGCTATGTTACTTGTTCTTTGCATTTGAGCAAAAGCAGGCTGTATTCAGGCTATGGGCTGTATGTTGCCGTTGTCTTTGTGAAGTGTGATCACAGTGGTCTATTTGTTATGATATCTTCAGATTCTGCCTTTGCCTCTTTGGGATACAAAATATGTTTTGTTGGATTAATGTATTTGGTTATAATCTATAAATCTGGATTGAGCTGGTGCTGAACTGCTGATAGACAGAAGCCTCAATGTAACCTGCAAAAAGGCTTACTTGAGAGCCCTCTGGCCCAGGCACTGTGCCCTGCACTGATCAAGTCTTGCCCTCTTTGCTCTGAGCCCACTGATCAAGTGTTGCCCTCTTGCCCTTTTTGCTCTGAACCAAAACTGGATTCTCTTCCCGCTGGTTTTGGCCCCCAGGCCCCAGTCCCCTTCAAATACGGAGCCCCGACAATGCCAGTATAAACAAGATTTGAATTTTTATTTAAAATGGTTTATTTCGGGTCTCCATTGGATATGTGTGGGTGGAAAAAAATTCGAAACCAAACTCTCAATAAGATTCAGGTCCCTGTGTGGCCTGCCGCGGCCGCTGGTACGGAAACCGAACGAATTTGAGCAGCCCAAGTCGTAGGTGTTATGGAAAGTCCCGTCCCCTGTTCCCGCTGGTATTCGGTTTCGCTCCCCTTCAAATAGGCAACCCCGACGATCCCAAAGCACGCGTTTTTTTTTTCCCCCGCAAAACAAGCACGGAACGCCTGACATCTATGGGCGACGACACATCAGTCAGCAGCGGCAGCTGCATCCACATCTACGGCCCGAAAAACTTCGAGGACAACTTCCGCATCTTCAAAAAGCAAGATGAGATCAGACCCGTTCTCGCCAAGATCGAGAGGATCCACGACGAGGTGAAGCTTGACAACGGCTTGTGCTTCGGCCTCTTCGATCCCGCCACCAACATCCTCGTCAACAGCTTCATCTCCAACTCCGAAGGTGCCCCTCCACCGCCGCCGCCGCGACGGGCGTACGCGGGACGCCGGCGGCGCCGAGGATGGGAGGAGGAGGACGACGCCAGCAGGGCGCGTGCAGACAGGGCCCAGCGATCGTTCGACGGCCTCATCGCCTTCCTGACCTGCCTTTTCCCCTACCTACCCGACGCGGAGGCCCTGGCGTACCTCGACGCCGCTGATCTCACTGGTAGAGAACCGAGCTTTACTTTCGGTGGGGAACCCTCTAGTCCCGATTCCTCACCCGAGAGCAAGCATCCGGGGTCAGGAACCAGGACTAAAGGAGGACCTTTAGTCCCGGTGGGTAACATCAATCGGGACTAAAGGTGCCTCCTGATATGCCACGATGGCCGACACCTTTAGTTCCGGTTGGTAATACGAACCGGGACTAAAGGTTTTTTTTCTTTTTTCTTTTTTTTCATTTTTTCATTTTTTTGTTTTCGAAGTCGTATTGTACGCTACTAATTATACATTTATACGCGCGTATAGTATGTTTCGATTCAAGCACAATGAACATATTAAATCACACAATTCAAGCATAGAAAAAAATATATATATATATGCATGCATGCATCATATATATATATTTACATGCATGCATGCATATGTGTATTTTACATTATATTATTTCATGGGCATATCTTACAAAAAGATTGCATTACAGTTGTTGTGATATAACAAGTTTTCTCTCATCCTCTAGCTTGGCTTCCATGGCAGTGTTGGGTTGAAGTAGAACTCGCCCTTGAAATCGATAACCTGCTCATTAAAAAATCCGGCTATAGACTCTTGAATTGCTTTGATTTGGTCTTGCCGTATGACATTTTCCTCCAACCATCGAGTCTACATATTTGAATTAAAGAAAAATAAATTAATATATGTACATATATTTATATAAAGACATAGTAACACAATCAATAATAATAATTAAATGAATATATAGTGTATTTTTAACGTACTTTGAGTCTCTCTGTAGGAGTTCTTTGGAAGACCACCTTGATAAACTTGCAAACATAGTAACCACAGTAGTTGTTCCCCTGTTCCTACCTTAGACACCACTTTACGAGAAAAAGATTTGTCATCCAATCTGGTGATCCGGTGAAAGCTATATGTTTAATTAATAAAGATGATGCGATTCAGGGGACTTACTTTCAAAGGGATTACATTCAGTGGCGCTTTGCATTTTTCCATGTGTTGCTTCTCAATAAAGGTTTTCCAAACACTGCCCAATAAAAAATTTGCCACGTCATCAGATATAGTTAATCATCATGTTTGTGTGTATATATAGTTGCTAGAGATCCCGAAATTACCTCTGAATAATATCTATCATATTTTGGTAGTCTTGTTGTGGTTTTCTCATCGAGTCATAGATTATCAAGTGACTTTTCATCAGATCGATGTCCATCAATATCCAGTGATTGCTGCATGTGTTTATAGGATATAACGCATAACACTCATTAATTAACTAGAATCAACATATGAGCCATTAAGGATGATCGATATTATTAACACTCACTTGAAATTATAGGGAAAGAGTATATCCTTCTTGTGGCGTTGGTTCACTAAGAAGTTCATGTGGTTACTCTCTGACTCAGACTTCCAATTAGTCTTTGGAGTAATTGGGTCTTTGAATATTATATGGGGATCAACAAAACCAATTTCATTGCAGCCTTCCTTTCTGAGCTCTGTCATTATAAATCTACATATATATATTACTTGTTAGGATAATTTATATGCATATACACACATATGATGAGTTTAATAATAGATCGAAAGAATTATTACTTACAGGCAATAGCAGCTAATGATAACTTTGTCCAGAGAGGTTAGGTGGCATAGTTGATGAAATTCTGCAAAGTCAACATACATAACATCATCGCCACGGAACCAATGTTCGTCTCTAATTCTGACACCAACGCAGAAGTCTCCACCGGTAGACGCCTGCATGTACCACTTGTTTAGCAGGTACATTTGCGTCCCTAGATCAGATAAGGCTTGAGGGTTGTATAGACTCTGGCCTAGTACAAATTTTTTCTTCCAAATATCAACCTCCGCCGCACTCTCAATGTTTCCATCACCAAACATCTAGTAAAGGTCGAGACCAGTCTCATCAATAAATTCACCAAGGTGATCCAAATCGACATCCGGAGGTATGTTTGCCTGATGCATTAATCCTAAATTCGAACCATATTCATTACCAACAACTAGCGGGGGGACTGATTGGTGCGCTTGTTGTCCGAGTTGGGCAACTCCTTTCCATGCCCGCTTCTTTTTATGTGCCGCCTCAATTGACTTGGCGAGAGTGCGGTCATAGTCCGATAACGTTGATTTGGACGGACTTACGATCCATTTGTTGTTCTTTGGTAAGAAGCCACCCTTTTTCTTAGAATATCTGGAGCTACTAATAAGTCACGGTTTCTCCGGGTTTCTCCTTGCTTCTTGATTCTTTTTAAGTTTGTCATAGAATCTAGATATATCTTTTTTATATGCATCAGTTCCTTCTTCCTTCTCTTCAGATATTATTTTGGGAATAGCCCTTGGTTTCACGGTGGCTTTCTTTGCAGGCGGGGACTGGTTCTTCGTTTGAGGGGCTGGCCTCTTGCTAGGCTTCTTGGTAGGCGGGGGCGGGGGAGGCGTTGGAGACCTCCTTGGAGGTGTTGGCAGCGGCGTTGGAGATCTCCTTGGAGGTGACGGCTGCGGCATTGGAGACCTCCTTGGAGATGGTGTGGATGCAGCCTCGCCTTCCAACATAATGTCATCGTACAGAGCACTATGATGATCTGGCGATTGAACAATTGGATTTAGGTTGGGGGAGGATCTGCTACAAAAAAAGGAATGACATATTATTATGAGCAGATTGTTAATTATTTAAGCCAATACAAATTAATGATGTAGTGTTTTCATCCGCACATACCTATGGTGAGGTAGTTCAGGAGGAGGTGGAGCCGACATCCCTGGAATGATAATGTAGCGCTTGCGCCATAGAATGAATGTCTTCTCCACTTCTCCTAGAGTCTTCTCGCCATCACCTCCAGGAATGTCAAGAGGCAAATCACTAAAACCTTTTTCAGCTTTATCTACCGAGATGGTAGCATATCCTTCTTGGATTATATTCCCATGAATCCTTGGTGTCTTGGTTCGGTCGATAGGATTAACAAGACCGATAGCCACCTTGATTGTGGAATTCCCCTTCGGAATGTGTAGCTCACACGTTGTACAAGGTTCAGTGACGTCATCCACAGGGAAGCGCAGTCCTGTGTCCCCTTGATTTGGTATCTCCGTGGAAGCGCAGCTGCTTTTCAACTGAACAGATGGTACCTTGATGTTGTTTAAGCATTCAAACATGATTTCCTTCTTCTCTTTGCTTAGAGTGTAGCTAGCAGGACATAAGTAATGGCGTCCATCATCTATCTTCTCTGGATGCAGGTTGTCTCTTTCTCTCAAACAACGCAGGTCCTGTCGTGCTTCAAATGTGTCCTTAGGCTTTCCATACACACCCATAAAGCCTAGCAGGTTCACACAAAGATTCTTCGTCAGGTGCATCACGTCGATCGAGCTATGGACCTCTAGGACTTGCCAATAGGGTAGGTCCCAAAATATGGACTTCTTCCATATGGGTGCGTGACCGTTAGCGTCGTTCGGAACAGGTTGGCTTCCATGTCCTTTTCCAAAGACGACTTTCACATCATTGACCATATCGAGTACATCCTCACCGGTTCGGTTGCGAGGCTTGGTCAGGTGGTCTGCCTTCCCTTTAAAATGCTTGCCTTTCTTTCTTACGGGGTGATTTGCAGGAAGAAATCGATGATGGCCAAGGTACACGACCTTTCGATATTTTTTCAAGAATACACCTCTAATATCACCGAAGCAGTGTGTGCATGCATTATATCCCTTATTTGACTGTCCTGAAAGATTACTTAGAGCAGACCAATCATTGATTGTTATGAACAACAATGCTCACAGATCAAAGTGTTCCTATTTGTACTCATTCCACACACGTACACCTTCTTTATTCCACAAAATGAGAAGTTCATTAATAAGTGGTCTCAGGTACACATCGATGTCATTGCCAAAGTTGCTTGGGCCTTGGATGAGCACATGCATCATAATGAACTTCCGCTTCATGCATAACCAAGGAGGAATGTTGTAGATACTTAGAGTAACAGGCCAAGTGCTATGACTAATGTTACGCTCTCCAAAAGGATTGATACCATCGTACTTAAAGCAAACCTTAAGTTTCTTGCGTCATTTGCAAACTCGGGAATTCTCTCGTCGATTGCTCTCCTTTGGGACCCATCAGCCAGGTGTCTCAACATATTGTCTACCTTACGGTCTTCTTTGTGCCATCGCAACAATTTTGCATGTTCTTTGTTTCGAACAGACGTTTCAAGCATGGTATTATAGGAGCATACCATATAACCTTGGCGAGGATTTTCTTACGTGGACGTTAGCCCTCAATATCACGTAGGTCATCTCTCACCGATCTTATACATGACGACGCATGGCATACGGGCATGCATCCAATTTCTCGTACTCTTTGCTTGCAGTGCAGGGATGCGAGTCATTAGGACATGCATGTATCATCTCTATTTCTAGCCCCATAGGATGACAACTTGTTTTGTTTCAGAGGTAATGGCGGGCAATTCATTGTCCTTGGAAGCATCTTCTTTTGAATTTTTAGTAACTCTCCAAATCCCTTGTCGATACACCATTCTTTGCCTTCCATTGCAAGCAATTCTAGTGTGGTTCCCAACTCTTTCGCCTGCATCACAAGTTGGGTACAACAATTTCTTGTGATCTTCTAGCATCCGCTCGAACTTGATCTTCTCCTTTTCACTTTCACATTCTCTTTGTGCGTCACGAATTACGAGAAAGATCATCATCACGGCTCATCTTCTGCGGCTACCTCTTCTTTGACTTCTCCCATTGCAAGTATCATTGAAGCACGCACCATCGGGAATAATATCATTGTCGTCCCATTGTTCTTCTTCACCTTCTTCCATTACAACACCGGTTTCTCCGTACTTTGTCCAACAAATATAGTTTGGCATGAAACCCGACTTGAACAAGTGTGAATGAGGAGTCCTTGAGCAAGGATATTCCACCGTATTCTTACATATGGCACATGGGCAAAGACATGAAACCGTCGCGTTTGTTTGCCTCGGCCGCCGACGTAACAAAAAGAATGCACGCCGTCAATGAACTCTTGGGAGCGGCGATCAGCATTATACATTCAATGACGGCTCATCTGCATTACATGACATAAATACCATATTAAAACCTAGATCATAATTAATTATTTATACAACATGCGTGCCACCACAAAAGATACAAATTTATGAAAGCATCGCTACAATGTAGACAATCCCAACTACCACTAAAAGAACTAAAGCTAAAATACATTTCAAAGTAGCACTAGGATTTCACGACCAATCTCAACTAAAATGCATGCAGATCCCCGATTGTAACATCTTTGGGCTTCTTCTATTTGGATCACCGCCTCATTAGCCTTCAGATCCGCCTGTTGTGCGAGATATTTTTACACGAGTTCAACATACTCTTCCTCCCAAAGAGAAGTCGAACATCGCCCACCGCCATCCCACTGAAATTAAAACAAAAAATTAGAACTTTAATCACAACCATCATGAAAATAGGTATAAACTAACCATAATCATTAAATACGATAAAATAACTCACATTGCGATCCGGACACTTGTAGAAGATACGATCCTTGTTGGGACCCTCCTTCTTCACTCGGTACTCCATCACAATCTTCGTCTCATCACGACACTTGCCGCATGGAATGAGAGGGAGGCCCGGCCTAAGTCGCTTTGGAAACCCATGAGAGGCCGAGGACCCGGAAGCAGTTGCCATCTACTCTCTATACTCATTTTTTAATACACTATAAATTTCTCCTTTTATAAACAAATAAAATTAAGAAACTATAAAATTATCTAGATCTCTAAACAATGATATTTTAATGGTCATTGTGTTCTCGTCTTTTACTGCGGCAGGTAAGAAATTCACATGATATTTTCGCAAATTAACAGAAGAATGGGAGTGTACACACATAACAGACTACTGCGACGATATCGGGACGTGTGAATAAATAACCATCCGTACTAGTTGACCTTGCTTACGTGATCATCTCGGCGAGCATTTCTCCACCGGACGGCACCGTACTTGGTCAAGGAAGAGCTCCGATTCTACAAGGAAGGGAACACGGTCTTCCATGACCGTTGCCGCTCTCCCTCGTAGAATCAAAGCTCCTCCTTGACGTCCGTTACCGCTCGGCAGAGAACATGCTCGCCGAGATGAACACGGTCCGCAAGTTCAACTAGTACGGATTTTCTATAATTTTCTAACTATTTTCTAAGTTTATATTTATATATATACTACGTTTGGGTACGGTGATTGACATACTACTACGACGATATCGGGACATATGAATAAATAACCATCCGTACTAGTTGAACTTGCTTACGTGATCATCTCGGCGAGCATTTCTCCACCGGATGGCACCGTACTTGGCCACGGAAGAGCTCCGATTCTACGAGGAAGGGAACACGGTCTTCCACGACCGTTGCTTCTCTCCCTCGTAGAATCAAAGCTCTTCCTTGATGTCCGTTACCGCTCGGCAGAGAACATGCTCGCCGAGATGAACACGGTCCGTAAGTTCAACTAGCTACTTTAACCTTCTTTCATGTAAATATGCAAGCTTTAAGTGATTTTGAGCTCAAATTGCTTACAAATGAAAAAAACCACAATAAAGAACCATATATATATAGTGAACAAAATGAGATAAGACAATGGTGAAAAATGAGAGTATGAGATTGGTAACCTTTACAACTGAAGAATCGACGGAGGAATCGAAGAAATCGACGGAGGAATCGAAGAATGGATGGAGGAACAATGGAGGGAGGGAGGAAGCAAGAACACTAGTGCAGTGAGCTTCAAAATGTGCTGAGCTCGGGCTCGGGGAGGAAGGAGACGGCCGGGATATAAAGGGGGACCTTTAGTCCCGGTTGGTGGCTCCAACCGGGACTAAAGGTAACTTTCCAACCCCGGACGCAGCCACGGCCCGGGAGTAGACTTTACTCCGGTTGGAGCCACCAACGGGGAGTAAAAGTATACCTTTAGTCCCGTTTGGTGGCTCCAACCAGACTAAAGGTTCTCGCCACCTCCTCATGGGCTTGAGAGTCAGTTAGGCGAGGGACCTTTAGTTCGATTGAGCCACCAACCGGGACTAAAGGTATTTCTAGTCCTGGACGCAAAAAAATCCGGGACTAGAGCCCATTTTAACCGAGGATCAAAGGTTTGTTCTCTACTAGTGTCTGGACCCGCTCGTCGACGCCCTCCTCATCATCAGCAGGCGCGGGATGCGGGGCGACTTTGACCTGTGCTCCCCGATCACCGAGGCGGCAGCCGAGGTCGCCCTCAGGTGCACGGCGGCTGCCACCAAGCACCCTGACCCGCGGTGGCTCATGCAGGCCTGGAAGAAGCTGCTCTCGCCTGCCGTGGAAGCTCTAGGCGGGCCCGCGCCGCCGTCACGCGAGACGCTGGGCGATGCAGTTCTCCGCGCGCTCGACGCGGTGGCACCGGATGTTCTTTAGCTGAAGGGATCGTGGGATCTCACCAAGGGGCGGCTTGCGGCAGCAAGATCAAAGATTTATGCAAAGCACCGCCCAAAGAGCTGCCTTCTGTCCGAGCAGCCATGAAGCGCATGCTGATTGCAACAATCCACGGGCTCTATGTGCAGGCGCTGGGCAGTCTGCCCACGGCGGAGCTATGCAGCCGGTACCACCGCAGCTTGCTCCTCGGTGGCTACTGCTACGGTCCGCTGGATCCTGTATCTAATATCATCGTCAATACAATCTGGTACGAGCAAAACTTCCCGACGGGCAAACAATTTTCAGTATCCATGATTAGCACTCAGATGTCAGATGATGTGGCGCATTGCGGCCCAATCACTCTATGGCCTCGTATCCTTTCTCTGCACTCGACACCAAGGTCTCACGCCTGACGAAGCCGTGGAACGCCTGCTCATGACCGGGGCTGACTTGCAAGCGGCCGATTCTAACCTTTCTGCTAGGCTTAGTGCTGCCGGAGAAAAGCCTCTATATGTTTCGGATTCCAGTACATTTCCTAACAGTCCTGCAACTGAAGAAATCACACGAGTTGCCAGCGTTGTTGAAGCATATACTGCCGCGGCCACAGCTACATTTCACTCCTTCCCTAACTCCGTCCCTCTTGCACACCCAGAGTTCCTTGCACATCAAGGGTTTGGGTCTGCCTCAGAGGTGTTGCATGCGCGTGATGGCGGCCCACTCTCCTCTGAAGATATTAGTTTGCTCGGGAGGATATTACAAAGTTGTACCTCGCCTACTAGCAAGTCACACCAGCAACATGACATAGCCCCTACAAAGGTCAAGAACGTAGTGTATTATCATATGATTCAAAGCAGCCATAGGTTCTGGGGTAAGCATGAGCGAGTCACCATCATGGTGAGAGATGCATTGTACAAATTCAACAAGACTGCTGCGGTTGGTTTTCATTCTTTACTTTAATTTATTCTGCATTTTTCACTTCATGTCATATTTCTCTGTATTTTTGTTAATTATAAGCTGCCTTATTTCCAATCTAACGCTCTTTGATCTTTATGTTTGAAGGAGGGTCGCTTGTTTGAACTTCATATCATCTTTGGTTTCAATGAGTTTGTATCTGGCCCTGTGCACAGCATGGAGAAAGTTGGAGACTATAATCCATGGACTCCTGACAAATATTGTCACACCCATATTAACTTTCTAGCAATTTGCAAAGACCGCCCATATGATCCTCCAACCATCTTCTTTGCTGAATGTGGCAAAGATGGTGCTGATACCTGTTGGTGTGTCCCTATTATTCCGCAAAAACCAAAAGCTGGTATGCTCTAGTTCTGACTTTGTGATTTTCCTTTTAATAATTTTTTAGTAGACTTTCTTTCAATATTTTCCTTCAAATAGATCGAGCTCTTTCTCTTTTTTTAGATAATGAGATAGAGCTCTTTTAGTTTTTTATATATCATTTTTGCAATCTTCATTGTTTAATTGCCTATAATTTCATCCAAATATCAGCATAATAGCCATAATGTACCTTTGTGTTGTTCACATGTTATCAAGATTTTCTTATGGTTAACTAAAGAGTTTAATTAATTAATCGCGGCTGATGGGTACTATTTATTATGTTTTGATCCATAGCCCAATGCAATGTCATCATTGGGCATGTATTCCTAGTATCATGTTTCTTATTAGCTAAAGCTAACCACTACTTTGCCACCGCTCTGTCACTGATCTGAACACCTAGCAGGCTAGCACCTTAGAAATCAAGGACCAATCTTGCACAAAAACATAGCATCAGCTAAACAACAAACGTTGAAGATGTAGTATTACATTTTGAGGGACATAACATATAATGTAGACTTCTTGTATGTTGTTGCACCTTTTGTTATGATGCAAGTGTAGTTTATTACTTTATTATGCTTGGAAGTTACCTATTGCTGTTTTAGTCACATGTCAGTTAACTGCTTAGAATTTCCTTAATCCTTTGAGAGGTCCAAATTAGTTGTGATCAACCTAATTAGAGTATGTTCTTATATGAAAGAACGTGTGCCTAGTTGAAGATCACATGTGCTGCACCATCATTCTTGATCTTACTAATTAGTGTACAAATGTTTTTTATCTTCATATGTATGCATGGCAGAACAACCTCGTTGCGTATACTGTGAGCATCGAGCTAACAGGATTGTGCATCCAGCTATGGAGAGTTTCTACGGTCGTGACGAGTTTGATAAGCTATTTTATGAATCAGATCGAAAATTCTATACCAATAATGGGGCCATCGAACATAGTAGATTAGATATAAATTGGGTGCATGGTGTGGAAGATGGTGCCGTCTACCTCAACTACTACCCAGATGGTGATGAAGCTGACTGGATACAGATTTCTTGATCGAGTGCTAGGTAGCAAGGGGTGTGACAAGTGATATGAAATTAGATAATGTTATTAGCCACCACTTTGCCACTGATTCAAAATCAGAGCCAATCATCTGAACCCCTAGCACCTTAGAAATCAAGGACCAAACTTGCACAAAAACATCGCATCAGGAACAAATGCTGAAGACTTAGTATTACATTTTGTGGAACATAGACATGTTGTTGCACCTTTTGTTATGATGCAAGTGTAGTTTATTATGCTTGGAAGTTACCTTTTGTTGTTTTAGTCACATATCACTTGATCGATTAGAATTCCATTAATCCTTTGAGGTCCAAATTAGTTGTGGTTAAACCTAATTAAAGTATGTTTTCATTTGAAAGAACGTGTGTCTATTTGAAGATCACACATATTGCGCCATCATTCTTGATCCTACTAATTAGTGTATAAATGTGTTTTTTATATGTATGACAGAACAACCTCGTTGCGTGTACTGTGAGCATCAAGCTAACATGATTGTGCATCCAACTGTGGAGAGTTTCTACGACCATGACGAGTTTGATATGTTATTTTATGAATCAGATTGAAAAATTTATACCAACAATGAGGTCATCAAACATAGCAGATTAGATATAGATTGGGTGCATGGTGTGGAAGATGGTGCCGTCTACCTCAACTACTACCCAGATGGTGATGATGGTGATGATGAAGCTGACTGGATACAAATTTCTTGAGTGCTAGGTAGCAAGGGGTGTGACACAAGTGATATAAAATTAGATAATGTTATTGATTTGTTCTTGAGTGAACTACTACCTTCGGTCCATTTTATCCGGCGCACTGATTCAAACTTTAAAAACTTTGATCAATAATTAGGCTAATAATTTTTAAATATTATAATACAAACTTTATATGATTAGATTAGATTTGTAAGGAATTATACTATCCCATGATTATAAGTTTATAAGCATAAATAGTATAATATAAAGAAAATAAATGGTCAAAGTGTAATCTAGGAAACCGTGTCATTCTAACTTGCACCAGATAAAATGAACCGGAGGGAGTACTTTATAATTGCTTTAAATTGTGTTTGTTTGTGGTGATTGTTACACATTATTACTAGGATCACATAATATCTTGATTTGAAAATATCTATGGATTTATCAATATGGTCTATCTTTTGCTATAGCTTCAAGTTCCAAACCACATCATGTCACTGTTATAAATAGCGACCATGATGACCATGATTCTTCACAATGTTTACACGGTATAAAATGTCAATATTTTAATTTGTAGCTTGTCATAACTCAAAACAATATATGGTCTGTACAGCAGACAAAAAAATGTTCTTTTAGCTAGCTAGGTTGCTCCTAATGGAAGTTCCCTTTGATGTTTTAGTCACATAACACTTAGTTGCTTATGAGACCCTATTGATCCTTTGATAGGCTCAAAAAAAAAAGGGAAAAAATATGCAGTACAAACCACACTTTTGGTGGAATCATGAAAATCTCTTAGAAAAGTATATTTAGGAGTTTTCAAAAAATTTAAAACAATGCACATATGCAGTGCATCTACGGATGTAGATTTTCACAAAATTAGAGATTCAAACTCGTTTTGTAAAAAAAATCATATGAAAATAACAACTTGCGGGTGCATATGCAGGAAGAAGGCAAGTTCCTAAGAATTTGTCTTCTAATCCGTATGCACCATAAATTTTTTATTTTTGTATGAATTTTTATAGATTGAGTTTGGATCTCCAATTTTAGTTTCAAAAAAAAATTTAATACTCCTAAGTATGTTTTAAATATAAATATGTTGTGATTCAGCATATAGTGATGAACCATGTGCCTATTTAAACAGCATGCATGCTTCCATCATTTCTCATGCCACTAAGGTCTAGTTTAGTTCCTAAAAATTTTCACCCCAAACTATCACATCGAATCTTGCGACACATGCATGGAGTATTAAATATAGACAAAAAAAACTAATTGCATAGTTTGGTGGGGAAATCGCGAGACGAATGTTTTAAGACTAATTAGTCCATGATTAGCCATAAGTGCTACAGTAACTAACATGCGCTAATGATGGATTAATTAGGATTAATAAATTCGTCTCGCAGTTTCCAGGCGAGCTATGTAATTAGCTTTTTTTATTAGTATCCGAAAACCCCTTCCGACATCCCTAAAACATCCGATGTGACATCAAAACTTTTCATTTCGCGAACTAAACACAGCCTAATTTGTCTTTTTTTGTTTATGTACGGCAGAACAAGTTCGATGCATTTACTGTGAATGTAAAGGGAACAGGATCACACATCCAGCCATAGGGAGTTTCTATGGGCACGATGAGTTTTTTTTTTTTTTGAACGGTCAGCAAAAGCTTTGCCGAAAATATATTAGTAGGAGAAAGGGCGCGATGAGTTTGATAAGTGGTTTTATGGGCCCAAGATATCTTACGACAAATTTTACACTAACAACCAGCTTATCCAAAAATTGGGTGCATGGTTTGGAACATGGTGGCGTCAAAATCGACGGCTCTACTTCTGTGACTGGATAGAGAGATTTGCTTGGGGTGCCAAGTAGCAAGGAGTATCAAAAAAAGTGGCATAGCATCTTATGACACTTCGCTTTGTGATGAATTATTATAGTGTAGTTCGGACATGCGATAGGTTCGTGTTTACACTTAAACAGGGCCATCATGCCCTGTTGAAACTTAATGGTGGTGGTCGTCGCCATGAACCTCTGAAAGCAATGGGATCGTAGGACCATGCTGCTGTTAGCACTGCAGTTTCCTTCAGATTTATTCCGTACGGCCGCTGACGTCCTCGTGATTTTCAAGCCTCGGCTCTTTCGTCCCCAAAATTGGACAATGTCGTTTGTTATGCCTTCGTTCCTCAAAATTGGATAACAGTTCCAGTTTCCAGATGATCAGAACCCACCGACAAAATTGGCGCTGCCTGGATTCTGTTGCGTTTCATGCTCAGCCATGCCCGAGGCCCAACTGGCAGGCAAATGCTGCCCAATCTTGCCATTGTCATTTGATCCTTTCATTCAGTGTACAAACCCAATTCTTACACTTATTTCATTTCATTTAAGAGTGGAATTGGTACATACAAAACTCAGTAGCCTTATTACATGAACTGATACATGGCGGCTCCAGCTCATCTCCCCAGTTGGCATCGTACCAGAATTTCAGTATTAACATGCACAGTAGTAACGTTACAGCACCGCTCTGTAAATTCTTTTCAGGGTCACCTAATCATCATCAAAATAGTGTTTATAGTATGTACACCGTGACTATAATGCTATAGGCTTCGCCGTCCCTCTTCGGGATGTGCATTTGGCCACCTCCCACGGCACGCTTCAGTTCTATCCAGAAAACACAATCGTGAAACAGCATGACGAGTGTTCTCCGTATCAAACTTTTGCATAAATTGCCTTTATCTATATGTTGTTCTTGGCGGTTCCTTCCCCTACTTCATCAACAAAAGGGCATCACGATGACGCCCTAGGAGGGTCAATGCAGTTGCAGCTATGTGATGGGCAGTTAGGCCAGCCAAATCAAGTTGCTCCGCCAGTGAAGCGTGTTCAATGTACCTGTCTGGTAGCACAATGGGTCGCCACTGCAAGTTACAAAGAAACAGGCACCTTGAGATTAGCACATAGAAACAACAAAAATCAGTAGATCACTAAACACAACCTAAAATTGCTACCAATTAACACATCAAGAGCCCTGGAAAGTGTAGCTGCGAAGCATGAGGCCGGTGCCTCCATTGCAAGATGACAGAACAAGCCTCGTGCTTGGTAGAAGGTCACAAACAGCATCGAAAAGTGGCGAAGGTACCTTTATTCGGCCATCAAGTAGACCATCAAGTGAAATAAACTGTGAGACATGTGATCCAAAGCCACCAACTGTTCCTTCTTCCACTGTGATAAGAAAACTATGCTGCTGGCATAGCGTTCGGATTAGATCGATGTCAAGTGGCTTGCAAAATCTCGCATTTGCAACTGTCGCCTGAATGCCAAAGTTGGATAAAAGAGATCGAGCAATCAAGCATCTCTGGACCACCTCGCCATAGCCAAGAAAAGCTATCTCTTTTCCCTCGACAAGAATCTCTCCTTTACCAATCTGAAAAAGGGTATGGAGAACATCACAACCTGCCTACACTTCAAAATATTTCATAACATAGTGACAAGTGAGAACATAAAAGGAACATTTATATACTTTCCAGATGACAAAGCACATCTTTCTTGTTCTCAAAGCAATGGATTGCTTTATATTTTTGTAATGGTAAGAAATACATAGAAGTGGTACACTGCTTGTTATTCTTCCTGTGATAAATTAAATGTTGAAATAAGAACATGAGGTTCTTAGACATCTTTGTGTGTAGCCCAGCAATATGGTAGATGTGCTTGAAATGTTAGGGCTGTACTATTTGCAAGTAATGTTGACTTAGAGCAAAATATATTGAAGGGAACCTACCTCAAGCGGATTCCCATATGTTAAAGTTGCACTAGTCCCAACAATGGCACCCCTAGGATAGCGGAAGCAAATAGGTTTGTCCTCAATCATTGCAGCTGTTGCCACCATGTCAATAAGTTCATCCTCATTAGATGGTGACATGACAATCATGTTTGGCAAGCATGACATGAATGTAATATCAAATGGTCCTGAGTTAGTTGGGCCCTCCGATCCCACCAGACCAGCATTTGTGATAGCAAATCGAACTGGTATCTTTTGCATGTCCACATCTTCAACTATCTGCCATACATGTGAGCTTTATGAAATGTAATGTACATAGCAGTAAAGCAGCCTCGCAGATTTGGTGAACTAATTGGAGATTATGCAAACACTAATTTAGCAGCAGTATGTGTTGGCACCTGATCATATGCTCGCTGAAGAAATGTGGATGGAATTATGCAGAAAGGCTTTAAACCTCCACAGGCCAAACCAGCAGAGAAGGTAACAGCATGTTGCTCAGCGATGCCCAAGTCAAAAAATCTGTCTGGGAACCTGGACTGGAATAAGCGGAGTGATCGATCCATTCCCATGCCCCCATGAACTACCACAATGCGCTTGTCATTCTCTGCTTCTGCTGTTAGTGCTTCTACAAAGCAGTCATTATATGTCCTAGAAAGTCCAGTTTCTAAAAATTTAAGAAGATCATTGCTCGAATTTGAAGGCCCTGTTGTCAGTAAAAAAAGTTAATCCGTAAAAGATTCATTCAATTTATATAGATTGTATATGTAAAAAAAAATACAGCTAGTAAGGACTCTAAGAGGGCAATAGTGTACCATGACTGCAAAAGGATCAGTACATTAGCACCCGTAGACTCTTAGGAATGTGGCAACTTAATCGAACCTTAAAATGTTGTGACTTACATTGAGCCTAAGTTGCTAATCATGACACATACATATTTTTAAAGAAGCTTCTTTAGCAGAGTACTGACACTTCCTCGCATTGCCATGGTTCTTCCTCCCATAGATGAGGAACCCCAGTGCAGAGGTAACAGAGCAAGAGAGCAAAAAAAAATACTAGGCATGACTCCTAATTCAGCAAAAGAAAAGTAAAACAGCATGCATATTTTGATAGTGACCTGTATTACAAACCTTCCTCATTTGCAGTTATTTCACTTCTAATATTTCCACCAGTGTCACTTTCAGTCCCAGTAATTACATGTACAAGTACTGGGCCAGTTGAATCTAGGCTCGCAACCTCCTTTAGTACACAGATGATATCATCAATGTTACGCCCATCAATAGGACCAATATAATATAATCCAAGTTCTTCAAAAAGAGTTGCTCCATGAGGACCTATCATACCACGAGCATACTCATCAACTTTGGCAGCAAATTCATGCATTCCTTTGCCAAACCATTTGGCAAGTCCCTAGGAAGAAAAATTCGAATATCAAAATGGGAATATTCATATAACATAATACTACACCATAAATCTCGAAGTAACAAGAACAAAGTTGATTTTCTAGATAAAGAAATCAGAGCTATACAATTACAGGCATTCTAAAAGGTCCATGCTGTGTTTAAAACACATTCTCAAGGGATATAAACATTTACCTTTGCAGCCTCCCTAAACCTCCTAAATCCTTTGCTGGATTGAATCTTGCTGAGAGCACTAGAGAAGGCATTAACTGACATCTTTGGTCCGCCATCTGCTTTAGGAAGCAAGGTATGACAGTTATCATTTAGAATAACTACCATGTTGGAATCGAGGAAACCAGCATGGCCCATTGCCTCGTACACCTGGCCAGCCATGGTTGTCCAATTACTTATAACTGTCACTATTCGATTTTTTCTCCCATTTATATCCCTTGCAACCGCCATCCCTGATAAGAAGTAACTCTCAAACTATATATAGAAAGGAAACAAAACTTTAAAAGACTATAAAAGAAGCAAGATTCAGGAAATACTGAACAGAGCTTGGATATTATCATGATGTGTAAAGTTTTCTGATGACTAATCTGTCGGCTGTAAACATTGTATACTGTGAAGATTCCGTGCAATTTCACACAAAAATAAAGAACAGGAACTGAAAGAACTGAGCAGAATAATTTAGATCAGGCTCTGTCTTTTCTTAAAAAGAAAATCTCTTAGTGCTGCATACATAATTGGATTCAGAAACTAAATCCAACTTTATTGAATTTTTCAAGTAGACAAGCCATTAATTAAAAAAGCATACAGGTGAAAATATCACTAAGAAATGACTCTGAGAATCATGTCAATTCCATTCCACTTGCAGAGAACAGTTCTGTTCAATAACATAGATACAATTTGGCATGCAAGACAGTAATGTACAAATAGAGGAAGTACCAAGGCCAGCAGATAGACTATTGCATCCATGTCCAGCACCAAAGGGATCATACTCGCTCTCAAAACGCGACGTGAACCCGGAAAGGCCGTTTTTCTGTTTAATAGTATGAAATAGAGAGCGCCTTCCTGTGAGAATCTTGTGCGCATACGCCTGTTGCAAGAAAACTATTGAGCGAAAAAAGGTTGAACATGACAAAGTTGATTAAAACAAATACCTTACAATTGAAAACAGTAACAGAAAGATGTCTTACATGTTGACCAGCATCCCATAGTATCTTATCCATTGGGGCATTGAACACATAATGTATAGCAATTGTCAGCTCCACAACTGAGCGACCAGGACCACATGGTTGGCATTTTCTTGACATTATGAAAGCTATTTCAGAACGAACTTCGTCAGCTAACTGCTTGAGCTCCTGTTTTTGTTTAGGTTTACAAGCGTCAAATTTTTCTCAAATCTTATGCATTATTACTATGAGAATGGAAGCCAAGAGAGTATGAGTATGACTCTGACGACCTTACTAGATAGATTTTTCAAATGAATGGGCGCATCAATTGTGTCCAGGATCGGAGTAGGATCCTTCTCCCAGAAAAAATCATCAACATCAGGTAGTGCAGCCACTCTCTGAGTCAAACCCTGCACAAGAGTTGCGGTATCAGATTCAGATCACAGCGTTAATGTATATCTCTAACGATATATGTGAATTTTGGAGCTAAAAATCAACTCTGAAACTCAGAGAAGTTCCTTCTGTTATGCCTTATGCCTTGCAACTTCGGGAAGAGCATACCCTTGATGGTGAAGCTGGTGATGTTGTTAGCAGCGGTCTCGAATATATCGGATTGCATCTCAAATACCGAAGAGTGTGAAAAGGGTAGCTTGTGGAGTGCAGAACGGCAAACTCGTCATAAACCAGATTACGAGCAAGCGGAGGACGCAGAAACGCCGTGTCCATGGCGGAGCCTGGCGCCAGCTGATGCCCCAAATCCTGCAATTTGACGATCCATTTAAGAAGAAGTAAACCTGAACCGTGAGTAAAACAGCTGAATCTGACGAGCAAGCAGCTTCTTCCCCTCCAATTTAACAGCACCAATTAGCTTAAACACGAACGGAAAGCTACCTCAAACCGGCAGAAGACGCCGCCGCCGTGATCTCCTCCTCCCCTCGCGCGGGACTGGCGGCGGGATGCGGCGGCTACTGAGTGACGCCTTGAGGGTGGGGCAGCAAGGCAGCCCTACTCCGATTTGGGTGGATGCGGAGCGTCGCGCTGTACTGGCGACATGACAGAGAGGCTAATCCGAACGCAAAGTTTTCATCTTTTCTTATGTGTCCTAATATAGCATAGTAATGATTCCTCCTTCACGTCTGCTTTCGTTAGTGCGTTCAACTGTAGTCAAATTGCGGCGACTTTTCCCTACTCGGGGGCTAATCTGTGAAAAGTGCGTCGTACGAATCTAATTAGGGGGTAACATGCAAAACTCTTGGATTGCAATTAGACCCTCCGCAATGTGCTAGCGGTGCCTGAACAAATAAAAGGGTTAATTTGAACGCTGCCATTACAATTCTGCGACTTTCGAAATATACCATTATAATTCACGATATTGTAAACTTGCCATTATAATTTCAGTGGAAACGTGATTGATGCTATTCTGTATGCTTGCTACGAGATGTGGCCCACCTGCAGGCGTACGTCTACGGCGACATGTTTCGTATGACCCGTATTGCCCCTGTCTCATCCGACTAAAACGAGTTGTACCCAGTCGAGGTCGTCTAACCCTCTCACTTCCTTTCCTCTCGTCTCTTTCCCCGGTCATGAACCCTAGCTAGCGACGGAATTGGATCCAGCGGCGGCTCAAGTCGGCGGCGGCGACGATTCTGGCTTGGAGCAGGAGGTGGTGGTGAAAGAGATCTGTTTCCCCAAGAGCTACGCATCTATTGGAGTCCATGGTCGTGGCTTGAGGAAGATGACAGGCTTCTCCGCGACCGGCGAGCCGTGTGGGAGTTCGTCGGGCATGGCCGGCAACAAGGACAGGTAATCCCCAAACTCCTCCAAAATCTTCTATTGATCTGAGTACAGAACTTGGGGATGGACCCATTTTGCTATAGGATTTCCCCTTACATTTGCATTCTTCGTGCTAGGCCTGAGTTGTTTATGCTAGAGATTAAAGTTCAAGGTTTCTGCAGCACAGACTCCCTGGGTAGGAAAGTCTACACAAAGGGATTTGTGATTAAGTGGGAGGTGGAGATAGGTGCTATAACCGTAGACCTGTTGATGAATGTTTTAGCCAAAGAGGTGCTGTGGTCATCTACCTAGTGTGGGAGATTGTGGTTCTTTGACAAGAATTTGGGAGATGTCAGATTAGTGAATGATAGTCATTTGCTAGATATGTTTGCTATGTACAAGGTTGAGATGTCTTGTTAGGTCTTAGTAGGTGTATTTGCAATTCAATATCTACTGCTGATGACTATGCTGAGCTAGAACCTTTGTGTGTTATTCCTCCTGACGATGAACAACCTAGCCCAGTGAATCCACCACAGGCCACTGAACCTAAAAACACAATACACAGGCTCCTGAATCCACCCAAAACATGCTAGAACCTACTGAAGCTGCAGCAAAGGAGCCACCACAACCTACTGAAGCTGCAATAAAAGAGTCAGACGTTGAGCCTATTAGGGAGCCAGACATGTTTGATAATGAAGAGGAGTACGTGGACGTTGATGATGAACACATCTATATCTCAGTACCACATGCACAGCCAACCCCAAATGCCACTGCACCACAACCAGTTGATAACAATTCTAATTATATTCCTGCTGAAGGATGTGTTACTCTTATGGCAGAAGTTAATGATGCAGATCCTCGGGATATAAATATCATTCATGATCTAGAAAATCCCAACATTGTGAAAGGTGCCTTGTTTCCTGATATCATAGCATTCAGGAAAGTTGTGAGGCACTATGCTGTGATCACTGGATTTGAATTTGCTGATCTGAAGACTGACCCGACAATGTTCGTTGCCTGTTGCAAAGTTGAAGGCTGCCCGTGGAGAATGCATGCGTCAAGGATTTATGATGGCAAATCAATAGAGGTACAACCTATGCCATTTTTATTTTTCTATTCTAAACTGTCTGTGGTCTACTTTTGTAACATGTATTCAATTTTGTTGCAGATCAAAGTATTGCCTGCTGAGCATAACTGTCCTACTACAAAGCTGAGAGAAGGAAAAATGGCAACACAAGACTGGTGTGCTAGCAGGTTGACATAATGGCTTAAGAAAAATCCAAACAAACGTTGGGACAAACTGGAAGATGATTACGGCATCAAGTTGAAGTATTCGAAGGCATGGGCAGGTATGAAGCTAGCTCTTTAGCACATACATGGTAAATATGAGGAAAGTTTTCAGTTGTTGGTGAACTAGAAAGCACAAATAGAGCTTATTTCACCAGGAAGCATCGTAGAAATAGAGGTAGAAGGGAATAAGAAGCAGAGGTTTAAAAGGATTTTTGTAGCCTTGAAGCCTTGTGTAGATGGATTTTTGGCAGGTTGTAGACCATTTGTAGGGGTAGATGCCACATGCTTAAATGGTAAATACACTGGTAAGTTGTGGCAAAACTGCTCAAAATAATACGCTTTCAAAGGCGCTCGTCTTCTACTAGACACTAAGCACCCCGAAAGTTAGCTACATCGGACAGTTCCGTCGAGCACACCCCACGAGAGAACTCGAATCAATCCATGTTTTATCTCTAGAATCCAATAATGATACGAGCTTACAATACTTAGTCAATTTCATACAACAAGAATTTTTAGAAATTATTTATTATAATACCAGGGTTCAGAGTGTGATAATTAAACAGCAGAATGAAAATAAGCATCTAGCGAAAACGATACAAGGATCCGTCTATGCCCACCAGAAGAATCCTCCACATAAGAGCTACTCCTCAAGCTACACCTGCAATAGGGTAAAATAAACCCTGAGTACACAATATACTCACAAGACTTATCCGACTAGTGGGAATAGTTTTCCAACTCCAAGGGATATGATAGGCAATATGGGTTTGTTGTTTTCTTTTTGTTTGCGAAAAACATTACTAGAAGTACGTCTTTAAGATCTAGTTTAATTAGCAGTCATGATTACTTCATTAGCTAAGCATTCTAGGTAAGCAACTGTTCTACTTTCAAGCAAGGGTTGAGCAATCAGAACCAAATTACCATATTTCATATTTCAGTTCTTACTACGATGTTAGACCATAGCCAAGTCATACCATCTCATGAAAATGACGATTTACGAACCAATGTATCCCAACTGGGTACCCCAAAACACACGTCATGTTTATACCTCAGGCACAAACAAGACCAACTCATTCCACTCCTATCATGGGGTCTAGGTCTCCGTCTAAACTTGGACTCCAAGCCCCACACATGAGAAACTGTCTCAATATGGTGCTTAGACCTCCACCTTTCCCAACCTTCAATCAGTCGGACCTAAAAGAGCCGAAACCCACGACAAGAGCGTAACGAGCCTTTCCGCTCCCATAAGCAAGTATATACTCAGGATAATAAGTCTGTGACCTGACTACCATCCACAACAACGGACGGTCCTCAATCGACACTGATAGGAAAAATAATGTAACCAAGCTAAGTCTCGTGGCCATGTGACACAATTCATTACACCCGCTAATACCCATACCATATCCCTGTCCGGGCTCCATTTTTCTTTCATCATTTTTATCATGAGAGTAATTATAATAATCACCTATTGTGAGTAACGGCAGGTTACTCACGCTACCGAAAACCTAAGCATAGCAGCTACTCTAACCTGCACAAGTAAAACTCATAGGATAGATATATCTATGCATGTGGTTTCCATAAAATTCCTATAACATAAATGCACATCACATATATACATATAGTGATTACAAAAATAAGGGTTATGTACCGAGGCTTGCCTTGGATAGGCGCGGTGTCAGCCGAGTCAGTCGGTGGTGGCTCTGAGACCTCCTCCCTCATGAGGACCTCTTCCTCATATTTCTCGACGATCTCCTCAAACTTGCGATCGTCTGTGGTCACTATCTCCACCAACTCATTCTCTACATACATGCGATGATGATGCAACCATATAGCATTTAGACAACAACAACTCTTAAAATAATAATATAGACACCAAGCTACTAAGCTAGCTCTAATGACTAAGATACTAAGCTAACTATCATCTTCATCAAACAAAGTGTTAGGTTCAACTAACAAACCCTTAGCTTAGCAAATTAAGGATATATCTTTATTTCTACTAGTCATTTAATGTATATTGAAACAAAGAGTATTTAATTACCCTAATGCTTAGTCTATTCTAAGGCTACAAAAATTATAATGAGCACATAATAATACAATAAAGCTATCATAAAAATTTCAGGACTAAAGCTAACACCAATTTACCACAAAAATTCCTATAATAATTAACTTAATATTATTAAGCATTCTCAAACAATTTAATAACTCATAATATCAACACATATAAGTATGAACTAAATACACCAACAGATAGATCGCAATTTTAGGAACCTAACAAAATTTATTTCATAATTTTTGGACACCTACATGATTTTATATTAATTATCAAAGATCAGCTCATAAATTAAATTAGAAAACCATTTCGAATTCCTTAGATAAAAAGGAAAAGTGAATCTCCTACGTGGCCACACGCGTGGCCCGAGCGACCCAGCGCGCGCGCGCTCGCGTGGTGGCCCGCAGATACGACCCACGCAGAGACGGCCCGCGCCGGGGAAAGCCCGCACGCGCTGGCAATTTTGCAAAAGAGACCTCGAACTCCTCCCAATTTACAACTAAGTACTAACACTATTTTCTCCTATCTTAGACCTTCTCACTTAATCCCCCGGCTTCCCTGGAATTCCCCCACGTGCACCCCCGGCTAACCCGTGCCCGGCGGCGCGACGAGCGTT